CGGCTCCCCTCAGCGCCGACGCGGGGGGGGGGACGCCCGCCGGCAGCCGCCGCCCCGCTCATGCCGCGCCCGGCTCCGTGGCAGCCTACCTGTGCGGCGGGCGGCCCGCGGCTCAGCCTGGCCTTCCGGGTGCCGGGCGGCGTCACGGGCACAGGTTGCTGCGGTGCCGCGGCGCTGTAGAAGGAAGCGGCGCGGGGTGTGTGTGTGTGCGGGGGGGTGGGGGGGTGTGGAGGCGGCCCCGAGCCCCGGTTCCCCCCCACCGCTGCGGCTGCAGCCGGGCAGCCCCGCTCGGGAAGGGAGCCCCTGCGGTGCCGAGCGGGCCCGTCCGCCCTGTGGGGTTAGCGCAGGGCTGAGCCCGCCGCCTCAGCCCTACCCGGGGCTGGAGCCTGCGGTGTGCCCGGCCTTGTGCTGCCGGGCAGGCTCGGGCAGCCCGCGCAGGGCGAGGCCGTGCAGGGACAGGGAGGTACCGGCGGCATGCGGCAGTGCCTGGCAAACTTTGGATGCCTCTGTGCCCCAAACCCGGCCGTCAGCCGTGCGGCGGCAGAGCCTGTGGCTTCATAGGGGTATGGGGGCTGCAGGCCGGCACCACTGTGACAGCGCAGGGACGGGGCTGTTGGCCACTCCAGATATCCCCGCTGCAGACTCTGGTAGCCCCACCTGGCTTTAAGACTGATCCTAACCAAAGAAATAGCTCATCAAAGGTGATATTTTCCTTCAAACCCCAACAGCTCCTTCCATCTCTGGAGCAGTGATGACAGCCCTGAGGCACCCTGCTCAGTTGCTCCTCCGTCGCCTGTTGGCTACTGATGGCATTCCGGTTGCAGGAGGAGCGAGGGTCCCCCCAGGACATGGCATCTCCATCCCTGTCTGCCCAGCAGGAAGCTCTCCCTCCAGCGACAGATGCTGTTATTCTCCGGCACCACCAATCCCTCTCAGGAAGGGACAGGGATTAGATGGGGGTAACATGTGTTAAGGTAATAGCTCTAAACAGCATTTTGCTGCCTTGGCTTTACTGTCTATTGCTGGGAGGGGGCTGTGACACTTGAGCTCCCTGTAGCCTCAGATGCTCCACACCAGTGCATGGCTCTCACCGTGATGGCCATGATGGCTCCAAGTCCTGTCTTTGGCCCAAAGCAGATAGAGATGAGGGCAGCAGACCCCGTTCTAAACAGACACTACCAGGGGCCACATTTTGCATGAAAGACATTCAGGCAGAACACTGCTGTGTGCAAGTGAGAGGAACAAAATGCGGCTCTGAAGGGTTTTGAAGCAGAAAGGATTTTCACACCCCCAAATTCAATATTTTTCATCTCAACTTTCTCTGCATCCTGGCAGGGAAGGGGGAACAGAAGGAGCTTTTTTGCTGGACCTGGCAGCATCTCGCTCAGACAGACCTGGCAGGAATACAGGTGCTGAGTTAAAGGCTGATCCTGAGCAAAACTCATCCCTAAACAAGGCGACCATTCCAGACCTGCTCCAAGGAGGTAGTGGGTGTCAGAACCATGCCTAAGGTGGACCTGGCAGGGCTTACATCCAGATGCTCCTGCTCATTGGATCTTGGGCATGGGTCCTGCCTGCACATCTGGTGCCTTCTGCTCCTTCACAGGGCCCAGCCACTACCGCAGCTACTTGCATAGTGCTGACCACTGCTCTCCCTTCCCCATTATCATCTGCCAAGATCTTGCTGTGTCTCCTGGACAAGGGACCCTCACTTCTTCATATCAATTCAATCTCTGCATTACCTTGAGCTTTGAGGTGAGCATATGGCCCACCTACAGGCAGTGCTCACAGGAGAACTGCTGACTCTATGATTGATCTTCACATCAGCGATGGAGTCATTCATTCTCCTTCAAAGGTGTCCAAGTTGTGGTTTGTGTTGCCCCCATCCCTCTGCTCTTCTCACACCTCCACCTTGTAGCCCATGCAGAGTTCAGGTTTGTTCATGTTCTCTGTAGAAGACTTGGAAGTGCCCATCTTCCAGCATCACTCAGTGAAAGTTCTTGTCACATGAAGCTGAATGCTCCTTGTGCAGTCATCCAAGCTGCTAAATTTCCCTTTCAAGGAGGCCAGCAGCTCTGTGCACCGCTATCAGGGCAGGTTTAGTGTTCATTCTCCTCTTTCTTTCTGCGGAGGTTGTATGGAGGGTAGAGCCCGAGGAAGACCCTGGATCACAGATCAGCCCTTTGCCCCGCACTTCTATCTGCAGAGCTCAGAACTACTCCAGTGTCCTGGAGTTGCTCCCCAGGGCTTTTTTCCAGCTCCTGGTGGGTTGTCACACACTAAATAGTTTCAACTGAAACAAGAGCATGTGGCTGGCTGCAGCTAACTCACTGCTCAGCTACTTGGGACTCTTGCTGTCCTGCCTAGTTGCTGAAGAGCTACAGCTCTGAATTAAAAATCTATGATGAATAAAGGTAAGGCTAGGACATGTTGTAGGTCTGGACCCATGGATAGGTTGGCTTGCAGTATGGACAGGTGATTACAGGCAGTATAATCTTTATTAATGTGAAAAATCATCTGCTTTCATCTTTGAGGTGTCTCTGGAGCAGTGTGTGGCTCCTGGTGTCACCAGGTCACGTCTGCAGGCTCCAACAGAAAACCACCACAAACCCCTGCTTGGCCAACGATCAGCTTCTGACCTCTCATGTGCATGTTCAGCACAGGAGGTGGCTTGGTTTTCTTTGGTCTGAAATTCACTAAACTAGGTTTGAGAGCAGCTTCAAACTTAAGCTACTGCACAGTACTCCTTGCTCTTGTAAGTTTACAAGCAGCTGTGGTTAAGTTATTCCTGGAGTATTCCCTGGAGAAGAAACTAGGGGAATTAGTTACAAAACCCCAAGCCTAATGCTATTGCTTTGAACTGAACAAAGGTAGATACCATGAAACGACCTCTAGGGAAGCCATTCTAGAGGAGTCTAGTCTGAACGTTCAGGGGTGATTCATCTATGCAATGGGACACAGAGCAAAATCAGGTCTCTTAATTTCTGGTGGTAACTGAAGCAGAAGAAACATCTTCAAGCTTTGGGGAAAAAAAAAAATCTCATGGGGGAACAGACCTAATCCCACACTTCCTTTCAGCAAAAAGCAACAAGCATGAGGTGAGGGGATGCTTCTGATCACACACTACAAGAACCAAGACCAAACTGGTATGAAGTGCAGATTTAAAGTTCCAGGTAAGCTTAAAACTTGTTCAAATCATTCTTCACGTGGTGCAGCAGACGAGAGATCAGCTTCTCCTCTGCTCTGACATGGTTAGCAGATGTGGCAGCTGTCACAAGTTGCTTGTCTCCTGCCCCCCCCCATTATAGAAAGAGACCAGAGCACACATCCGCCTCATGCAGACAGGAGGATCTGTTCTGTAATTCACAGAGGAACAAGGCAAAGCCTGTACCATGACACACTATCGTTTTTAGTGTCACTCCAACAGCAGCTGACAAAAACTGGTCAAGACTCAAGGTTTTGTGCATGCTGCAGCACAGGGGGTGTCAGCTTAAGCACAAGTTGGCAAATGACACTTAGCTTATCTCAAGAAGAAACTTGAGAACTCTCTCAGCAGATGACAGAGCTGTAAATCATGGGGTTTATAGCCATAAAAGTATCATCAAGACAACTTTAAATGGTTAGTTTCTATTAAATACGAAAATCTTCTGCTTGCAGCTATAAAGATGAAACCTTACAGTTCGTATGCATTGTGCCCATCTGAAAAGCGTCCAGCTGTGTTTTAAGGAAGGGCTAAGGTGCCTCATAAAAGCACTGCAACAGCCATAACTCCAAGGTTAGTTGGTAAGGGCTGAAGCTGAACTTTATTTACTTAGGGATGTTTGCTCCCCTGTCATAGTCTGGTTTCTTGGCATAGGAGGGTTACTGGTTGAGGGTGTGAGTGGCATGAAACTATGTAATAGGGTAGAGTGAGTGGAAAGTAAAGTTTTCTGTTGACACTCAAGTGAACTGTCACACAGAACTATGGCCTGGGGAGGGGGGAAGCATTTAAATCTTATTGATAGAGTTGGAGTGTGGGTTTTTGTTGAGCAGTGGGAGCTACTTCGGAGTTTCACTCACTGGTACTTAAGACCTGCACCACTATCACTGGTTTTGATGAGTTAATGAGATTTCTATTCAATTATAAGCTCTCAGTTTGCCAGGAAAAGGGTAAGCAGACCAACTTTGAACAAGGGAGTTCTCTGGGCACGTGTTTATCTTGGTCTCTTCTGCTCCAAACAGTTTATGAGGGATCCACATCAATTTTCACTTGCAAAAGGAAATCAATACATGTCATGGAAGTACAAATAGGACAGAGAACAGAGGATACTGGAATCAACGGATCTCTGAATGCTGATACCTGAAATACTGTGACAAGGGAGGAACTGAGCAAGAGCAGAGTATCTAACCACGCTGCTTCCCCTGTCCCACATCCATAGTTCACACACCCCTTGCCCCAGATTAAGGGGTTAATTAAGCCTAGGTTAATTTAAACTAACCAGGCAGAATATTCTGTGAGGAACCCAGGCTGTGCCCGTGCTACAGTGTTCAAGAAGCTCTTCCCATACGCTCTCGAGAGCCCTGTGCTGCTGCAGTTACTATTTTTGATACAAACCAGATGTGATATCACCTCATATTCCAGCCTTTCCTCTGGCTAAAGGATGTTCTCAGTGCTTTCTAGCAATTTCAAGTGACTTGTTTGTTTTGGGGCAGTTTTGATGGGAATAGGTCTTAAATAAGAAGCTTCCAAGAACCAAGTGAGGGAGTAAGTTGGGTCGGAACTGAAATTCTAAGCAATGAAGTCACTCCATTCAGGAAAGGTTACTGCTGAGTTGGTTCCAGAGCTGCTGTTGGGTTTGGTAATCATGCCCATGGACGGAGGAAGGCCACATTCAGGACAGTGTGCCGTTCTTTCCAACCCAAAGGGCCAGCTCTAAGAAAACAGGACACACCAGGCTGGCTTCCTGTAGAGCCTACTGAAGTCAGAGAGAAAGCAATCGAAACTCATGGACAAAAAGAAGTGTTTTGATGCTAACTTTAGTAAGTAAAGTTTTCCAGATAAAGGCAATTGCATCCATATTTAACAGCTGTTAAAGAGATAGATACACATTTAATTGCATTATATAAGGGGTGCTTTATAGTCGAGAGGAAACATTTCAAGTGTTTTAGTTCTACCTGTTTGGAATCCAGACTTTCTCCCTAGAAGATATTCCAGTTGACAAAAGGGCCTTGTGCAGATATCTGGGATCAACTGAATACATTTATTTAAAAGCAATTTTAAATATTAAAAAAGTAGAAATTAACACATACAGTACTCAAAAACTGTCACATTAAATACATGTGAATAGACATGTGTACTGATGTTTTACCTTAACATTCAATGAGAAGTCAAGATTTTAACTAGTGGCATGACCAGATCTGATTTCTGTACATGTTGATGTACTATGTAATAAAAAAATAAATAGCAACTGTTGTTCAACAGTAAATAAGACATCATCTGCAGAGCAAACTTCCCCCTCTGGGGGCACCTTCCCCTGGCCCTCCCCCCAACCCTTTATCAGCTAATTTTCCATAAAGATTTAGACTTTCCAAATACTATGTCATATACAAAATTGCAGACAGTGGCTCATTGAGTTCAAATATAATACTGTACTTAAACTCAATCAATATCATACATTTTCAGATTTCTTATGACCCACAAGAAGCCAGAATAAACAGAACTATTGTTCCCGATGGAACTCATTTCATTTTATAAAATGCATATGTATACTATTTTAAAGAGCGTAGAAAAGAATAGACATTTGACTCTACATAATTTTACATGCCTAGGTTCTCGTTATATGATTTGCTTTTATCAGTTTATTTCAAGATCACTTAAAAATACAATTGACCACAAAAGTGAATAGGTTTTGTTCTTTAATGCAACTTAAAACATTGGAGTAATGGATAAAATGGAATGCTAAATAAATGCTAAACCTGACTTCCTTTCCATAAAAAATAGACTAAAGTCTGAAATACTGGAGCTGGTAATACTGAAGATTAGATGCCAGCAGGCTCCTCACTCATGGCGTGATTATTATTACTTGTCATAAACTTTTGTTATAAATGATAAGACCATTGATAAATGCTTTGCGTTTCCTTCCATGTGGGGTTTGGACTGATACTTGTTTCTATATTAACCATGAACAGAATTAAATATTCACTGACTACAGTCTTGTAAAAGTGACTTAAAAATGGAAGCCCTCAGAGGGTCTGAGGTGTGCTTTGATGAAATGAAAATCCTTCTATGCAGCCAAGACAATCTGCTTTGAAACAGCAGCACCAGTTACTGAAGCCAAAGTAACGTTTAAAGCAAGTAACACAAAACTAGGTATGAAAGTCACGGAACCTGCTACAGACAAACCATGGGAAAAACACAACTGTGGTATGCTTCAAAAGGTAAAAAGTGATGTTGAAAGTGGCACAGGAAATAAAAAGTTTCCAGTAATACATGTACGTGTTTTCTGGCAATGCAGCTTCATCCCAGCTTCCAAGAAACCTCAGGTCCAAAGCAGCCTTCCACAGATTTTCTTAGAAATTAGCTTTGGAATGGTCTGTTACTTGGTGCTTTGAATTAAGACTATTACAGTTCAGTGAACACTACTAAAACCAGCCTGATCTGAGTTCTGTCATTAACAGCCTGATCAAATGCATGAGAGGTCACCTTAACTTCCACTTTTTAGAGCACTTAGAAATGATTTAAATTTATCCTTATATCACCACATAAGTTTTATTTTAGGTCACTAACTTTTAGTAAGGTTGAAGACAAGAGGAAAATAAAACCCCACAAACTCATTTTTCAAAGAGCCAATTCAGCTATAAACAAATACTGTTGCAAGCTCACATTGATCTGAATAGCAATTAAGTTAAAATGTTCTTTTCCTCAAATGTAGCTATATGACTACAGTACTACTTTTGTACAAAGGCAGGTTTCAAGTAAGCGTCTAAATGCATGCATAATGTCAACAGTTAACATTGTCTAGAAGTCCTTGGTTACTAAGAATTCAGTGAAAGAACCCAGCAAATTTCACATATATCTACTAAAGAACAAGAGGACTCATTTTCATTAAAAGAAGGTTTCGAATGAAAGAAATTGGTAACTTTTGATAGTGAGGTAATATCACAGGGGAACTGCAATCACAGTTTGGCATAGGTCCACGTCATAGAAACATGAAATGCTGTGTGCACGCAGTAAAACATTACTGTTATCTGTAAAGTCAGTGAATATTTGTCTTCATAATTACACTGAACTGAGCACTATATTAAATAAATACCAAAGTGGGTTTCATAGCTGTAAACTGCATACACTTAGAAACTGCAGACTGGTTTTTAAAGTCTCCAAAACCATTCACTCATTCTAACTTTCTGCTAATTGTATATTGAGAATACCGAGTTATTAGGAACAGTCATTTCTGTACAGTTACATGGTTGACAGAAACCACCTATGTTTGGAAAGCTGGCAGTTCCTAGACAGAGATGTAAGTGCTAGATGCCGAGGATGGCTTCAACAAACCCAATAAGGCGTGCCAGGTTCCAAGGCTACCATAATACTGGCAAAGGCAGAATAACACAGTATATTTACAATACATATAATTCAACCTCATGAGGTGAAAACTTAAATGAATCCTTAATTTGTAACAGCAGCTATATATACAATTGTGCACAGGATTACAGGGAGGCAGCAGCGTTCGCTTTTGCTAAAAAGCCCGTCTTGCATGAAGAATGTGCAATGCTCAAGTTTAGGATGGGTTTTGTTTATTTGTTTTTACTAGTCTGACAGAATGTGCACAAAGGACACCGGGAAGACCCCTTTCCTCTCTGGCTGTCCTTCGATGTGGCCAATCTGCAACACAGGAGAAAAATGTACATAGATACATACAGACTTCATAGACTTCATTTACCTCAGTCAAAAGCAGCAGAACCACACGGATCCTACAGAGCCTTTGGAACTCCTTGGACACTTTATAGCAGACCACAGTTAATATTTACATCTATCAGACACTGAGCCGACTAAATCTAAAGAAAACAAACCTGCAGGTTTTTTAGAAACCTACACACATCACTGAATGTCAAGTATCTCACCAAAACGGAAGCCTGATCTTTCTTTTGTCTGATAGACTTTGAGTAACGAGATCTACATCTCTGAAACCATTCATCTTCGTTAACTGAATAAAGCCTAAACATCTCACTAAAGGGAAATGTCTGCTACAGTTGTGAAGTTATGATAATCTGCATGCTTCGCTTACTTAAAGTGATAAAATACCAGCTATTTTCTCATTGAGTTAGTGTTGCTCCTAATGATTTATGTGCATATTAGTATTTATCACGCTGTGGCCTGATAAATACCCTTCATGTAGAACTTCAATAGCCAGCCAACTTCTAGAAAAAATTAGTAATAATGGAACTTCACATGTTTAAAATGGAGAGTTATAAATAACTGTCAAACTGATACAGCACTGGAGCAGCAGTCTTGACTGAGCACAGAAGCCTCTTCTGCTGCAGTGCTGCTCACTGCTTTCAGAATAATAGTGTACCTCCTTCCTCTTCCCCACGCTAACAAAATGGGAAGGGGAAACATGCAGGGCCGGCCATTTCCTCTTGTAAAGCCAAATTTTTGAAGCATATGAGTCAACAGCCCTCGTTTCCCTTCTCAGAAACATTCAGATTGCAGCACCTCATGGAACTTCTCGGGTCTTAAAAAGCCACTTCACAAAACAGTTTCAGCAATGAATGCAGCTATAATCAGGGACTGGATGATACAGTTAATACAGCAGGTTTCCACTGGACATTGCTCCTTTTTGATGCCACCTTTTCATCTGAAAATCTTCCATGCTTAAATCATGAGTGAGGCAAAACCACATAGCTAGAATTAAACCAGGAAAGGTTGTGCTGCACTCTTGGATTAGGAGATCATAGGCAGCATTTCTTTTAATCAAGATGAAAACTGTCTCATTTTCCCCAATAGTAATTGTTAGGTAGGGAAATAAGATGTAGCAGGGCTTTGGAGGCAAGAAGCAGAGTGTCAAGGGAGGGCTGGAGCCTTCAACTGGGGTTGAAAAACCCCTGGTGTTAGCACTTAAGAACCAAAGACAGAGTAGGACACAAACCAGTGGCACAGGAGGGAAGAAGGGAATGTTAACTACCTTTCATTTAAGGAGGAAAACCAAGAGCTTACAGCACCAATTACTAATGGTTTTTCAGACTTCCATCAACCCCTGTAGGTACAACTTAACATTTCCGGTGAACTGAAGATAATTATGTATCTCATTATATAATTATACATATAATTATGTATCTCATTTTTCATGAGGGGTGTAAACATGCTAAACGGAGTAAAAATCACCACTTCCTCATTTAATGGCAGGCTAGTGTGCACTGCAAAGAGTGACATACATAAATTACATGTTGTTATGAGCCAGACAAAAAGCCAAACTCATTCAGGATGGTTCTAACAGACTCCCAGGAAGAGACAGGCCCTACCAGAGAAAGAGGTTTTTCCCCTAATAAAGGTTTGAGTGCTGGATGTTAGCTCAGGCAAAACACTGCCAAAACCAAATAAAACCCCACCACCCACTAGCCAAAATAATGACAAAGCCTCCAAATTTGGGGGAAAAAAAACAAACAACATTCCTTTAGAGGTCATAAAGAAGTTACGTGGGACTATGAAAGGAAAAGATACATACCCACCACTCTTGGTCCTCTTCACCAGTTACAATAATTACTTCTCCTTCAACAAATGTGAGCTCATCATCATTATCTGCCTGACAGTCATAAATGGTCTTCACTCGCCTAACTTTGTTTTTCCCCTAAAAATAGAATGAAGTTTTAGATGAAGGACATGAGGAACAGTGACAGCATATATATGGTAGGAATTTTGCCTTGTAGTTATGGTTTATTTTACAAGAAGGTGAAGATGACAAAATTGCTTTTCCTGCAATCAGGGACATACAATCAAAAAACTCTGCTTCAACAAGGATAGATACTAAAACAAAATAATACTACTACTGAAATTATCTGCCCAGGTTTTCTTCTTCTTAAGATTCAGAACTCCCAAAGAGACTTTAACATGTAGTTCATGGCTTAAATAACTTGTGCTTCCTCCAGTAAAGGAAGTTTAAATGACATCTTCACATTGTTCCAGTCCACAAAACCCTTTTTCTCCTGTAATACACACTTCATTTAAAAAAATCCACCATGAGCAGAAGATTAAATCCAGCTTCATCTAAAGGTTACAAGAGAGGTGAGGGCTGAGCAAAATGCTGCACTGAAATACCAGTACTCCTTACAGTTTTGGATCTAGTGCAGTAATACAGTATCCTTTGATTTCAGATGTGCTTATAGGACTGGAAATCATTGTGTGATTTCTCATCCACAATGCTAGCCATTTCTTATGAAAAGAATCTTAGTTTCAAGATGGCAGTACTAGTTAGTGATGAAAAGTCACAATAGATATTCTTACAGCTCTACCATTCTGAATCCAAGTGTTTTCTAGGTCAGATTTTGCTGCAGCCTGCTAATTCATATGAAAAACCCTGAGCCATGGACTCCTCCCCGAACATATGCTGCTCACAGCAGGGAAAATGCTTTAAATTATTTCCAAATACAGAAAGGAAACTTCACAGCAAAACACTTCTGCTACTTCATATTCCTGTATCTTCATACCCACACTTCTTCAAAGCCTACAGTGCCTTCTTTGAACAGAAGTAGTTAGATAACAAGAGTGCAAAAAAAAAAAAAGACCAAGAAGAGCACAAGGTGATGAGAAGCAGAAGGGCTACAAAGGAAAAAGTCAGCAGGTTTAGAGGAATTTGAGCCAAAATTAACTTCACGGAGGAAATTTCCTAGCGAGCCTTCTCTGCGCTGTTGCCTACCCACTCAAATACCTCTGCGCTTTGGCAAGACCCATTCCCTGCAGATTAACAAGGACACGGCAAAGAGCATTCATACTCAAGGTACAGGAACATAACAATTGGAGAGGGCTCTAAGGGACAGAGCAGTTAACAACGTAACACTAAGAAAACCCATACTCAAGGCAAATGAACAGAAAGTGAAGTTCAGATGAGATCAAAGGGGATTTTTACTGCAAAGCTTTGCTGCAGCAGGAAGTTACTTCAAAGAAGAGTTTCTCTTTTTTAAACAAATTAATGTAATTTGAACAAAAATCTCAACTATCCCCAGGGACCGGGATTCAATCTGAATGGGTATTTGGGGCCAGGCCCAGCTTTCAGCTCCACAGAACCTTTGCAAAGTAAGAGCGCTTCCAGTCAGCCCTCCTGTGATGAAGGGAAGCAACTACTTCTGCCAGATCAAAATTGTCTCTCAATGAAAAGACTTAAGAAAGTTAAATTCCTGTAAACTTAGAGGACTGCTTGCAGCTCAGCTTGTAAGAACACATGAAAAATGTCAGCAATTGCTCCTGGTTCCTTCAGATTAGCACCACAGATGACACATTCTATTCTTCTCACTTAGAGTGGTAAAAAGCAGCATTCAAGCCCACGACGTATTTAATCTTGGGAAGGTTTAAAAAAGGGATGGATCTGAAGAGAGTACGTTTTCCAGAACATAGTCTGGGGCACTGGTCTGTAAAGAAATACAAGGAATTCCAGGACATGTAATTTGCAACTATAAAACAAATGCCTGTCCCCCCCCCCCAGTCCTTTATTCAGTATCAGTACTTATTAAGAAGAGATTTTATGCTTAAGACTGAATACTGATCAACTGCTTTCCTTGGGTTAGTCTGAAACAGCAGTGATGGCAAAGGCAGTTCCCAGTTAACAGTTGGACCCAATGATCTTGAAGGTCTTTTCCAACCTAAATGATTCTATCCCTCTGTGGTCATTAATAATTGCTCCATCCTCTTATTTTAATTCAACACTTTGTTTAAAACCAACTATTTTGTCTCCATTACAGAAAACACACACACACAAAAGAACACTCAAGTGCTCAGTGTAAATTTAGAAGCACTCAGAGTACATTTCATTTCCTTAAAAACATCCTTCCGAGTCCTTCTGTATTAGCAGCATTTGTGGTTTTTACCTAATAATTCTGAACAATTGATTTTTTAGAACTTCCAATACAAAACTGGTGCTCATCTATGCAGTGGCTAAATAGCCAAAGCCAAGAGTGAAGTGCCAGCAAGGACTAGCGGCCCCGGTCTTACTGCTGCACTGATGGCACACTCAGCAGTTTGTGTGCAGAGGATATAGCCAGGTGAGATACATTTAAGAGGAATTCTTGCACCTTATTACTTGAGCAAGAGACAGAAGTGTGCATGCAATGTGTAAAAAACTGGTAAGTAATCATCATGGATACACCATAATGTTATCACTGCAGAAAAAATGGAACTATTTCACTTCCTGCACATGTGAAAACAGCTGAATTTGGAGAACACATCTTTACTCAGAATTTTTCTGTATCGGGTAGGATGAGAATCTAAATAAACCCCTGAAACAACTAATCACTATTTGCTTTCTGTACTCTTTAATAAAGTGACAAATAGCTGAGAATGTCCAGCAATATTTGCCTGCTTATATTTAAAAATATGCAGTAAACAAAGCATGGTTGCAGACACCTTTTGATCAGATCCCTGTACTATTTTATTTAACCTCCAGAATACTCAGGAAGCCCAAGGAACAACCCTGTTGTTCATTCTCAATTCAGACAGGGGCTTACAGACAAGTCCATGACAGAAGCTGAGCAGTGATGACTCCAGAGAAAGAGTCCTCAGACCAACACAAGGGAGAAACTCACCCTTTGCGTTCAGTGAAAGAGTGGAAGTCTTATTTCCTTTACCTAAGTGCTTTGCATAGCCAATTTGATAAGCATAACCATCTCCTTTCTGATGTATTCTTAATGACGAAAAACCTTAAGAGAGCTGCTCTGAAGTTTCATAAAATTATTTCAATATACATATGCATGAAGAATCCTCTGTTGGATGGAAATGGCACTGGTTAGCAAGATGAACAGGAAGATGAACTGGGGGCTGAACAAAGAGACTTGGAATGGAGTTATAACTCCAGCTCTCGCACTACAAACCATCCAGCAATGTCAGTTTTGACACTTCACCATTATAGCTGAACCTTTGTTAACTACTTCAATGCATCACATTAAATACAACAGGAACATGTATTTACTAGTTTGTCACAGTTAACTTTACCAGAATGTATATGTATTTGGGATTTGTAAGCTGTAATAGGGATGTTAAGCATGCATTGGAAGTAGACAAAAAACCTCTAAGGCATAGACAGCAGTGAGCAAAGACAACAGAAACAAACACCAATCGATTCAGAATTGTAACAAGCACAGACAAAAATGCCCGAGCTCCCTAATGCATCTAAACAAACTGTCATGCTCCCAAAGCTATCGTTTTATGCTACTAGTACTTGTTTCAGTATTCAAGAGGCCTTGTAAACCCCCAGCATTTGCTGAAGCTTCTTGGGAGCACAAAGAGAACTCCTTATTCCCCATCCTACCCCATAACGTTCTGTTGCTTTGTGTGCATAGCTCAAAGATGGGGATTTTTTTTTTGCACAGATAGTCCTGCAGTAACTTCAAAACCTCCCATGGTTACTTTAAATGAGCTGGAATAACACCTACCATGTTAATTTTCCTGGGCAGTGGCACAGGGGTTTCTGGCAGGGCGTGTGTTATGTCATTAGACTCTTCAGATGCTTGCCTTTGGACGGTGTCTCTAGATTGTACATTTGGAGAAAGATCTAAGGAGTGAGATTTCTGATTTGCCTCTGAGGGCTGAGGCTTCGGTGATGCTTCTCCACCTTGGGTTTTAGCCAACAGCTCTCCCAGCTGAGGTTTTGGAGGAAGGTCCTTCATTTGCGGCTTTGGAGGTAAGTCTCCAAGTTGTGGTTTTGGTGGCAAGTCTCCGAGCTGAGGCTTTGGGGGCAGTTCTCCAGGCTTTGGGGGTAAATCTACCACTTGAGGTTTCTGAGTTAATTCCAGGGGCAGAGGCTTTGGGGGCAAGTCTCCAGGCTGTGGTTTCTGTGGTATATCGATGGACAGCGAGGGCTTCTGAAACATTTCCGTGTGCTGATGGGATTTATCTATTGAAAGGTGATGACTGGTTTCTATTTTTCTTAGTGCCACTAAAACAGAAGAGCATAACAATGGGTTTTCACCATCTCATTTTAATATTAAAGAACTTAAGCACATATCAAAACCGTAATTGCGTAAATGACCACATGTTCACTGAGCACTGTTAACTGCCCATAGGTTCCCCTAGTTCATGGCAAATGCAAGGGAACACACCTTGATGTAACCCTCTTTCACTGAGGTCTCATTTTATTGCTCCTCCTGGAGGCCATGAGTGCTTAATCCAACAGCTACTAGATGTCAATTTATAGATTAAATACTTAAGAAGCAATAAAGTGATCTTGTAATGGACCTAAATCAGAAAGTATTAAATATAAGCTACTGTCATGACTGCAATGAAAATTCTCTTTTAATGACAATTATTCATATATACAGTTGAACTGCATACAAAACCCCCTGACTCGGAGGATTAGTACCTATAAAATCTTAAAGAAGAGAGTGAATGAGCACGAATGGGTCTATACAGTGTACAGAATACGTATTACAGACATTAAAATTAAAAATAGTATTTAATTATTGTAAATATTTACAATTTAGTGAAGAGGAGACATTTTCAAATGTGTATTTTGCAGATTTTATGGAAAGGAATTGAAAATAGCTTTTCCAAATCGTTTTTTTTTCCAGTGTCATGTGCTGATTCTACTGCTAGTTCCTTAAGAAAACTTGACTGAAATCCACATTAAAAACAAGCCCATAAGAACACAACAACCCCCACCAAAACCAAACAACTCTGCATTAAAACAGATGAAAGGGAACAGGAGAGAAAATAGTTACAGCCCATGATGAAAGCAACACATTTTGACTAGAAGGAATAATTTCTTATTGTGTTCAGCACTGCTTTAGTGTCATTATTCTACCAGCCAAAAAGGTGTCCTGGAAGCAGCAAAACTCCCTTTGGATATCACCTACTGCAATAACACTTCCATGCTGTATTTATATTTACAGCTCACACCCCCCCCCCCCCCAACTTTGCATAATTTCCATGAAAGAAATTGTATAGCTACTATCAGATACCTCATTTTAGAAAATGCCTGTGCTGATACCTGCATATGGCTTTGTCTCTTAAGACTTATCTACTAGCAAATGTAAAACACTGATCATCCACATTGGTTTGAGGCTTAAGTAAATGAGATGAAAAAAATGTCAGTAGCCCTTAAAGTGCTTTGATTGAGCCCATCTTAAGTTTTCAGCTGTATAATTTGAAATCAAGGAAGTGCTGTCTTTGCAGTGGTGCCCTATCGCATCATTGGTGTCTCTTTCAAAAGATGATACCAGGTCATAGTAACTAATTTAATAAAGTTGAAATCCCATATTTGCATTTTCTGTTAAAATGATTTGCACTCTCGGGCACCCCACTTCTGAAGTTTGGGCAGGCATCACTTCCTGATCTTCAGGCTTTGTGGTGATGATCCACTCGCACAGACAGAACATCTTTTTGATGGACTCTATCAGAGCTACAAGGTAGGTATACGTTCAACTTTACAATCAATTACTGCAAGAACTCAACTAAATAAAACCTGCTCTGTGAGTTTAAAGAGAGACTAGAAAAAACATTTCTAAGAAGGAAGGGCCATAAGGTGTTCATTGGGATGAGGGGCTCAGCAAGTCTGTCACTCAGTGAGCATGTAACAACACCTGATTCTTTTCAAAGTTGTTGTAAGGAGAACAACCCTGACCACCAAAACATGGCAATGGACATAACTTGCTTCAAGGTATCAAGAAATTTCACTTATGGATATTAGGAAGGAGAAAAAAAACCTGACCAATGAAAGCAGCCAAAGATAGAAAAAACAGAAGCCCCGGGAAGTTATGCATGGAGAGCCTCAAAATGTGACTGGACACAGCCATGGCAACCTGCTCTCATGTCAGAAAGTTGGTCCTGCTCCGAGTGCTGGATTGGACCAGCCCTGAGGTCTCTTCCAGCTTCAGTTAGTTTATGATATTTTTTAATTGTATTTTCCACAGGTCTAACTGTTCTTTTAGTTTAATAAAAACCTTCCCGATATTGGTGAATCCTCTATGGCTTTTGCTAAGCTTTTGTGGTTTGTGCATTTTAGAAATACAACTTTTGCTGAAAAGTCCCATATATTTAAACCAAGCATCTACTTTCACACGTATTTAAAAGATGCCATTATGAGAACACCCACAAAGAGACCTCTTACCTTTTTGAGGTAGTTTGGGAAGAACTCTAGGGCCAAGTGCAGTCTTTGCAGTCCCAGTGCTAAATCAACGGATGTGACTTGTTAGTGCTTTCATGCTGTTATAAAGTATACTCAAAACACTGTTAAGAATTAACTGCTTTTACACAGATAAAGACATACAAACCCCACACGGCTTTAATGCTAAAGGGCAGATTTATTCTACAAACTCTGGTATGTGCAAAACTGTACTTTAAAAGCAGGTGAAGCTGAAAGACCAGCTGAGAGGGCAGATCCAGAACTTTAAGGAAAACTTGGCTCTTTAAAATAACCATACCGAAGCATTCAAAACAATTTGTGCTTTATGTCAGTGGTTTGAAGTTTCCCAGGACTAAGCCTATGCCTTGTAGCCTACTGCATGAGTATGAGACTGTATTACCCATAAACTGCAGCCGCATCAGGAAACAAAGCCTCGGCTACTCTGAGGGAATACTGATAATTGTGGAAAAACAACAGGGTTTACTTGCCAGCCCGTGTTACAGCTGTGTTGGCTATTTATAGGAGTAAACAACAATACAAGCAGGAGTTGTGAGTAATTTGTTACAGCACAAAAATCTGAGATAGTTGCACACTGCCAAAACTTTCCATCTAAGCTTTCTGTTGTAGGCAATGTTTTGTCAGAATTAACACCAGGCTGGCTCAGATTCACAAACCTGGCACATGAGGGCAAAACATGTTACAAGTTCCAACAGAACCCACCAAGTTTCTTCTACTAAAACCACATTCAGTTCACTTTTATAGAAAAGGAGAGTGGAAGAAAAAACAAAAGCCAATTGATTTAAGGCATAAAAATCAAGCAATCGATAATCAAATGAAAACCAGTATCACCTCAAAATAGTTACTCAAAACATGAGGGAAAAGAAAAATGGGTGAGGAAGTTGCCAGAATAAGTTCAAGAGAGCGGAGTGTCTTCTGCATCAAACAGCCTTGATTCTGGTGTTGTCTCCACAGCTAACATCTCAAAACGAGTATGACTAATTTTGATTTCCTAGCTTTTCTTAAATAGTCAAAATATATCATGATACAAAACTGAAAGAACAGCCAAGCTCAGTCTTGATTCACCAAATAATTACCTCAGCCTTTATCTAATGCCATCAAACACGAGAACCACACTTCTACCCTTGTCTTACAAGCACCAAGTATGGCACCAGCTCTTTGCGCTGTAGGAACGTCACCACTTTCTCTCTGAATACCCAGTGCCACCTGATGGATTCAGCCAACATGGCAAGTCAGTTGTGCCACCACCACCACGTCCCCTGCCTGTCCTGACAGGGCAGATCACAGACTGAGGAGTGTCCAGAAAGGCTACCTATACATCTTGTTCTGTGATTTGTTTGACATTACACATCCACCTCCAGTCACGGCCTGATCGCGCACACTGTGGTCATGCACAGTCTCTGTTGTATTGCCCAAGGCACATGTTTATTAGAATTACCATGCTTTTTGAACCTCAGGATTTTGGAATCACAATACTGATAAAGGAGTAGCAAATACCAAGTGACAGGGATGTATGGTTATCCTTACTCCTGCAGCTATTGAAGAAGACACTTGTAATGCACTGACCTGATGAACTATGAGCTAAAAGCAGTTTGTGGTATTACAGCTTACACAGTGTGTGTCAGCACAGACTGGCAAACAGTTAAGCTGGACAAGTGAGATGAATTCTCTCTCTTACAGAGCTGTCTCTGATGCCAGCCTGTACCCAGAGTGACACTCCTGCAGCTGAAGGAGTGAGACCTCACACTGAAGCACATAAAAATCAAATACAGGACACATGAAAAGAAAACTTTTGTCCTGCCGGACTGCAGTCTGAGGCAGCATTCCCCAGCTCAGAGAGTGCTTGTGTAGGAGCAGTAGATAGATTCTGGTGCAAGTTGTTCTGCCCATCCCTCTCAAAGGATGAATTGTGTCTGGACAGCTATGAACCAAGCGTAGGAGGCTCGATGAAGCCAAAGTATTTGCATGGTAGTCAGGCATGCAGAAAACTAATGAAGAAACATAGCTAGGATTTTACTTCATATGAAAGGCAATTTCTTTTCTACTTTATAAATGAGTTATCCTTAGATAAATTTTCATCTTTGTCTTCATATACACAGATTTTACCTTGACTGCTGAGACATCCCCTCAAACTTGTTTGCAGCCTTAGTTGAAGGTGGGCCCAAATCATTACCTGAGGTGAAAGAAGCACAATTTAAAGAAAATTATCATTATGATAACTGAAATATAATCACCGGAGGGTGCAACTTCAGGCGAAGTACACATTCGTCCAAGTATCCTCTATACAACATGTCTAGAGATGTTAAACATCATTGTTTACTAATAGCTTTGTAACTGAAAAAACAGCAGGGACAGTAATAATCCAACTTGACCTTACATATAACACAGCTTAAAACAATTTACTGGTAGCTCACATCTGCTGGCAGGGAAAGACTGAATGACATTGCTGAGTTAGTGCTCTAGGGCATTTGTTGTGAATATAGTGTTTCAATTTTCTCTGAACAGAAGGAGATACTGCAGGCCAGGACCAAATAAATTTATCACAGATGTTTGCATTATGAGGCACATCTTTTTAAAACCACCTTGAACTTGATTTTATTAACAAAACATTATTTCTAAGGCCTGGTATTTTATCCTATGTAAAGAATAGCTTTTGCTGATATAATAACTAAGTCAGTATGTAACCATAACCTGAATGTTAACCGTTGGTAAAAGAAAGATCCTGGGTATACTCAATTCTGTCAAGGCAGCAAAATCCAAACCCAAGTGCTCCTGAACTCCTTCAGAAGGCTTCTTTTACATTAACCACCACCATTCCCAAGGTACAATTATACTAACTACTTTTAGTGCCTTTATCATTCCCCCCCTCTCTTCTATTATAGCATGTCTAAACAATCTCAGAACCAACTTCAACAACCATCAGTAAATTTTGTCACTGAAATAGATGTAAATTGACATTTAATGATCCAAGAACAGAAAATACTTCCCATGCAAAAGAACGACACATTTACTTAGATGCCATTCTTAGCGCACTGAAGTTTAAATGGAAATGCAGAAAAAGCTCATGCTGAGCCTTGCTAAAAATATGTGTGCATTTCAAATGGGGGAAAAGAAAAATAAAGGTAAAACAAACAGCAAATCCTTCGCATGTAGATCCTATGGATCAAACAAGGGAAAATATCCTGTGGTTGCTATGGGAAACCAAAATAATCTAAATGACATTTTTAGAATCTCTTTGAATAGTAACTTCATTTTCTTAGACATAAGCTAAGGATTGCTCTGCTTGAAGCCTCAATCAGTGCACAGATTAGGAAACAAATGCTGAAATTCAACATGACAAGAAATACAACATGGAAAAAAAAGCTTCTGAAAGGGAAAGCAGCGAACGTTTGACAATGCTTTTAAACCAAACCACAAAGGCAGATACAAGAAACTCCCTCTTTTATAAACACAAAACTTAATCCTTGCTTAAAATCCAAACAGACTTTGAAACAAGTTTTTGCACAGATCTCTGCTAAGAGGGGAGAAGAGGCCCCTCTTCCGTCACTGAAGCTTAGAGTGCGCTGCAGAGCAGAAAAGAGACAGAATAAGCAATGTTCTTCTCCAGCCCTGCCTTGAAAAGGTATTCTACTGCTATGAGGTTCTTTGACTCCACACCTGCACCTCTGCAGGATTTTTCTTCTCCTTTATCTGTCATCTAATGTTTTTAAAGAATAGTTGGCACTAGCTTAGCATCTGTTCCTACCACACTTCTCATTCCGATAGTCTGACATCAGAGCGTATTCCAGTATCTGGTATTTTAGATGTTGTTTTGGACTTTTCATAGATTTTTGAGGCTCTTCAACATGCCTTTACTACCTCTGGAACAGCAGAGGGCTGTTAGACCAGAACATAGGAAACATTTTTTCCATAGCCCAGACATCTGAAAAGTAGAGAACTGCAAAAGACTGTCATTATTTGTATTCCTTTGAGAAACAGAAAAAGACTGTGCTTTTCACTGGACTCTGTATTTCACTTCTTATCAAATCCTAGATGAAATCACATATTCTACACGAGTACTCTATGATTTACCACATTTAACTCATTGCTGGTTTTACGCTTACAATTTTTTTAGGCTAGTAATCTGCATTAGAACAGAGAGAGGACAATCTTAAAACACAAGAAATGTATGGACCCCCCATTGTAAGCATTGGATCCCAGCTCAAAAGTTTACAGATACATGGAAAACCTGCCACCAACACTAGTAAATTTCCTGGTCCTGAGATTTATAGGTACTGGGATTTACAGGGAGAAGCTGACTGCATAGAGCAATGTTTATTGAAAAGAGGAGTCATTCAAGTAGTCTGGTAAATAGTTTGTAAAAAGCTTGTCAGAAAAGTACCCTCTTAAAAAGAAAGAAAAAAAACCCTGTGCTGTTTCTGTATAACTTCTGCAGGTAGAAGGATGCGACCCTATCAGTCTTTGTGTATGCACAGACAACATCACAAACCCCCAAAACATATTAAGACAACACATCATCAGCTAGGTGCCAACACTTTGTCAGAGAGATCTGGCACAGAGCCCAAGGAAACCAGCTCTTTTGGGAATCAGAACCACACAGATTCACTGGGGTTTATCTGTCCCAGCTCATGAGCCACCTACATGAGGGAGCTGGTCGGAATAGCAGCAGGGGTAAGGAAGCAGAGGCAGAGGAGATGCAGCAGATGCAGGGGCTAGGGTGAGGGCAGCCTGGGCAGCTGGGGTAGAGAGAAGGAGGCAGCAGAGACCGAACTGTGCCCCAGGGGGAGCATGGCGTGTTTTCAGGTTTCTCAAGTGAGACTCGGCTACAGAAGCCTGGAAGCTAGAGTGACAGGAGATAGAACTGCTGATTTATCTGAGCTGACACTGCATCAAGCTGCAATCATTGGAAAGCAAGCACCAGGTGAAAAGAAACCAAAGATCATATATCATCCATCATAAAAGGTTTTCCCCTGCCCTTTTGTTTTGCGTTTCAAAACTCACCCCAAGGAATTGGGCCCTTATTCTGGGGTCCATGAGGTAGTGGGCTTGGTGGGTCAGAGAGGGTTCTTTTGTGTCCTGGGGGTGGGGGAGGTGGTCTCTTCTTGGAAAGAGTGGAGCTGCCACTAGAGGTTTGAGTGCTTAGAGGGAGGGTTGAAGGTGGGCCTGCAAAATAACAAACAACCTTCTTACAAATACATGTGCATAAACGTCAAAGCAGCACTGAAAAAAAAAAAAAAAATCACAGTCAGACCCACAGCAAAGTGCAGCAAAGGACTCAAATGAAAAGACAAGCCATGCCAGAACACTGTTTAGATTAAACGACACGTTCACCACGTTTTTAACCATCTCAGCTCTGGGAATATAAGCAACTTGACAACAGACCGACACGTGTACTTATGTTTAAAAATACAGGATTAATCGGTTCATGATTCCTAATTTTAGGCATAAAAGAAAAAAAGGCATGAAATCTTAAAATTAAGTAAATATTAAGCATGTGGGATTAAAGCTAGTATTAATTTGGAACAAAAAGAAATACCTTTCTAGATGTTCTAGTATGTGGGGACATGTTTTCCACATCCCGTAACAACATCCCGTAAGAATTCTGTTAATAAACTGAGGGGGATGCAGGGAACAGAAAACTACCTATGAATTTGCCTTGCATTTTGAAAATTGTATTGTAAGCTTAATTTTTTCTATGCTTATTTCCCTTTTTTTATGTGGCTTACATAAATGAGACTATACATTCTTGCAGTGCAAACTGTTGTATGCAGTGTGCATAAAATCAACATCAGCAAAGCCCTTTCCGAGGCTGAAACTGGGTATTTAATGGTAGCATTGCTTATAGAGCTTATGCAGTCACCCCTCCCCTTAAACACTTTATTTCCCCCTGCATCAATGTTGGCACAAATATTCAACAAAATGCGTGTTTTACAGGATGTGGGAACACACACAGGTTAAAAGACAAAATAACCTAGAGGGAAGCCAAGTTTTCCCTGATCAACTTCACCCTTCCCCTTCAAAATTGTCCTTAGTGAGCAGCTCAAGGAAGCAGGCAGTGCAGGGAGCAAACATGCAGTGAGGGGACAACTGCTCCAGTCAGTGGCCATTTCCGTAAGAAGTTACCTGTAAACACTTATCCCAATTAGTCTGCATTAGGTTAGAACAGCTCTAGGGGGTTTTTGTTCAGTTGGTTTTAATCTAACCAACAAATAATGCTGCCCTGCAGTCATGATCTTGCAATTACATTTGCAGGTAAGAGCTTTGTTATCACAGGCTCTCGATACATGCAGAAAATCGATTTAAAAGCAAAGTGTAATTATACCTGAAATTTCAAGTCAAGTCACATTTTGTAGCACTATAGAACAAATTCACCCCTTTTTTAAAAACCTATTTGAAAGGTGTTTGAGACAAAAATCTTCATTGTGGTGATTAGGATACAGCCTGACCTGCACACAGGACTACAGCTGCCTCTTCACAAATATATACTACCACTCTCTACAGATAGACTAAAAGTCACCAAAGTCTGCATTCCTTCCTAAATTACCACACATCATAAAAGTACCAGAGTCAGTGAAGAACAGTCTTTGTTAAAATTCCCTAGGTGAAACACTAAACATTGAAAAAGGTAACTTCAATTACCCTACAAGTAAGTGTGTATTTGCCAGGCATTTTCAGCAGGTGACCTCCCTCCTTCTCCTAAATCCCAAAGACAAGACTGGTAAAACTGCCCATATTGAGTTAATGATTCATTCTGCTCTCCTCCAGATTCCAGCCTGGAATGCCTTTTGCTGCTCAGGTATGTTGGAGCTGGCTTTCCATTAGTTGCTTACCCTCATAAATCAAATTATGTATTATGGGATTCTTCCTCTCAATTTACTCCCAAGTTCACAAGACCATTAACTGACAAAAAGCCAAATGTTAGTGCACATTAATGCTTGTTCCCCAGTTTGCATCCTTTCTCATTTGAATGTCTTCCTTGAGCTTTAAGAAAGGAAGCTAATGTAAACCAAGAATTGAAATATTTCTGCAGCAAAAAGAAGAAAACTTTTCTCAGGCTATGCTTTGACTGATGATCCCCCAGACTAGTCATAAATTCTTCAGTTGGCTTAAATAAATATGAATCAAAGGTTGTTCTGTAAACAGTAGTAACTCAGAGTATAACGTAGGAGTGCTGAGGGGGAAAGGAGAATTCACCATCCAGTGTTAACAGTAACATTACTTTTAAAGCATGTCAAAACCATACACAGAATGTCTGCATTTCACATCTCAGAAAGGCACTGCACACTGACAAACTGCAAGTGGGGGATGTCCAACACCTCGGAGGCTCGCTCCTACCACCACCTGCTGTGCTGCTGTTAGTACTGCACTGCAGCCCGACCCCTCAATGCCAAAACGGTCTCCAGCCCCACCATGAAGTGACACAGAGTTCAAGCTAGGCTTGAAGGCCAGAAAGTGGAGGAAATGCAGTGAAGCAGTATTGTGTGCTTATCGTAAAAATAAAACCTCAGGCACGAAGTAAAATGTTTCCTTTTTATTGCCAATAAAGTGAAGAATCCTTCTCTATAAAACTAAAATTTAGTAGGATAAAATTCTTTGAAGGTGGTTATATGGATATATATTTTATATTTCACACTAGTAGTGTATCTCCAGACATCAGAGAGGAGTTGAAAAACATTATTGCTTCATAGCTTTCAAAAGGTCCTATGGCATAAAACAGTTCATGGGAAAAGGTGTTAAAGCATTGAAATTAATGCATCTTGCCAGGCTCCTACCATACCGTTTATCCCTATATTAATTTCACTGAAGATAATTATAAATTTAGGAATCATACACTAATGATTACATGGCTGAAATACAAAATAACTTTCAATAAATAGAAAATAAAGGAAAACTTCAAAATATCTTTTCAGAAAGAGGTATGAAGTCACATCACTTTGAATAAAGCAAACATGGGAAATGTTCTGGAATCTGAATCACCTTTTGGAAACAACTGGTGAAACAATACACAGATCTAATAATGATGTACACAGCATCGTTAAATTTATTATGAAATACTTTGTATTATGGAATAATTTTGGATGGAAAAGACCTTTAAGATCACCAAGTCCAACCGTTACCCCAGGACTGCCAAGGCCACCACTGAACAATGTCACTCAGGGCCTCATCATCATCATTAAGCTCCAGACAAGCAAAACACTCTGAAACGCACAGGGCTACCCCCCCACCTCTCCTTCCTTGCCTATCCCTCTGAAGAGTTTATAACCATCCATTGCAGCACTCCAGTTGTGCGAGTCATGCCACCATCTTTCTGTGATTGCAACTATGTCATAGTTCTGCTGCAAAACGGCTGCTGGCTCCTCCTGTTTGCTGCCCACACTGTGTGCATTGGTGGGGATGCACTTCAGTTGGGCTGATCCTCCCACCTTTTGTGGGGGAGAAGCCCCAGTTCCTACGTGACCACTCTCGGGTACTTTCATGGTTTCTAACACATCAATAACCTCTGTGGTTTTGCTGCTGCATGGATCTCCATCAACTGCCTCGAACTATGCGCTCCTGCTGGGTCTCAGCTTGGCTGGTCCAGCAAACCACCACACTAAAGCTCTCTATTGCCTATCATGTCAGCACTAGAGCTGCTCACCTCAGTGATACACATAAATCTATGCATAAACAAAACCTCAAAACAATTCTTACATGATATTTTTAATTACACAAGCTTAGCTAGGCATTTTTAAGCAACAACCAGAGCAGTTACTTTTCTAGACCAAAGGTATTTTGTGATTCTAACCAGGCAGCAAGTAAGCCAACCACTGAATTTCTTTTGCACAGCCATCTTAATGATGATTTCCCACACAGTTGTGAAGTTCATATTTCATGAGAACACTTTCTTCACACAAGGAAAAAAAAAGTACAACAAACAGGAAAACCACCTAGACTTTCTTAGTTGTGCTCCCACTGGGCCCTCTTCAGTTAGCTGGGAACTGTCACTTTCAGTGCAAACTGTTGTCATCTTTTATCAGTTTTTCATATTGCAAGGATCACACTTTCATGTGCAGATAGATCAAATAATCTCAAATTTATTGTACTAAGGTAAGTAACGGGAAAAGCTCCACCATTAATAGTGCATTGCCCTTCAGCTGTTGTGCAGTTAGTACAGTATCTATTAATTTGTGTAGCTGTGAGACCATGCAAAGCTGTTGCCATCCACTCAAGAAATGGTGCGCTTAGGGTGTAAAACCTCACATTTGTATTTTTTTTACCACTTAATGACAGATATGGAAGAACCATTATTCCAGTTAATGGTATAACAGGAACTGCAAAGGAAAGTAAGTGTATATTAAAAGTAGAATCTTCATTGACAAGTGTTGTTAAAGTTCTTATGAGTGATGTTTTTGCAGACATTACTAAAAGCCTTCCTCAGTTTGTCTTACTTCGCATCACATTTTCAGGACTGAAAAGAAGATCATAAAGACAAAATTACCATGATCACTCTGAAAAAGAAAGCTAAGAATAGACATCAATTCAACAACAGCATTTGCAGTACATTCTATAATAAAAAGCTGAAAAATGTCCTGTTAAAAAACCCCAGACTTTATGTTAAAGAATGTTGCATTTCAGGTTGATGCACTAGTACAAAACAGAAGAAACTGGACAACCTTAAAGGCTGAGGTAATGGAAATGAGATTAAATAGAGAAGTATTGTGGATAATGTTAAAATTCCATATTAAGGAAGCATTTGTTCTGTAAATCAAGGGCTCCAGTTGAAAATGGTACTAGAGACTGTGTAATGCCTGATATGCTATAATATGATGGAATAATAATAAAAAAAATAGGACAAAGGAAGTTCTGATGTAGTCCTTCCAGCACTAACAGCAAGGTTTTAATGCTGGCTCTGTACTTCCAGTCACTTGTATTTAAGAAAGCTGATTTAAACAGCAAAGGTACAGAGAAAGGCTAGTATGATGAAAGGGTGACTTGAATGACAGGAGAATGCAAATACTCTTCTCTCAGAAAAGGTGAAATATGGTTGGTTTATCTAACAAAACAGAAAAGGAGACCTGCAGGACTGCTTTCCAAGTCGTGCCTTGACACAGACACAATGACAGAAAAAACACCAAAGCTAAATGACAATATTGGTACATGAACAAAGTAATATAATGGATCTGAGAAGATTGCTAATCCTGCGAGCAATGCAGTCACACAGCTTCTAGAAGTTACTAGTAAAGGCAAATAAGCAAATTTGGTTAGGAATTGAATCTGATCAAGTGAGAAGCAGATCATATGAATATGGTATCTGCAGTGGCAGTGGACTGGAAACACAAATGCCCTTGGGTTTACGTACCTAACGTCAGAGCTGTGAAAAAGAGCGTAAAATATGCAAACATGTAAGTCACCAAGCTTCACTTCATGATATCAAACTGATCCTTGACCTCCATGTTCACCCCGTACACAAAAATAGGCAGAACCATTACAAATTAATTCACTTTCAGCTCAAATTAAGGAAACTTGTCTTAGACTGCCTAACTTCTACAAAACTAGTTAGCAACATTGCCTTCACTTTGGATTCACAACTAAGGTCATGCAAAGTTTATTTTGCTGCTGTGCTGAGTCATGCAACCACACCAATATTGGTATTTTGGGTTTTTTAAAGCAGAAGACCTGCTAGATGTCTGGAGCCATAATGCAGGTGTAAGCTGGAAAGACTGATGATTTTTTAGAATGCTACAGACTAAAGATTGGGCTGATAATAAACTGAACCTGAATAAGCTGAGAGGAACTACTGGAGAAGGCAAACAGTGGTTCACTTATGCAGCTACTGCACTCATTCTGTACTCTTCATTCTGTTTGGATTAAGTAAATCTGTAGCAGAGATAGCAAAAAGTAAGATGTATCCAAAAAAATGAGTTTGTTTACTGTAAAGTATACCGACATTCCAGCATTTTAGGGACCTCTATATACACATTCTCCAACAACTTACCTTCTTTGCCCAATCAAAGTCCAGACTTGATGGCTCCCAGCCACTGTGGCATCTCAGTAAACACCATAGAACCTGGCTACTAAGGAACTTCACCGGTGCATGAAGCCAGCTTACAGAGGGCTAAAGTGAGGTGGTTTTGTTTAAACATACAATGTGTTTTGGAAAAGAGTTTTATCTGTATGCCTCAAAGGATAAAAACCATGAAACTTTAAATTCTTCTGCCTCATTCTAAAATAAGATCCCATCAGCTATCCCTCCCTACAGATTGTCTCCATGTTCTAGCAGGGTCCCATGGTATCTGCTGGGGCTTCATAGAAGAGAACGACAAAGATCAGATTATATTTGGGCACAGAAGAAAAGCTTAAACTGAATTAAAGATTCAATGCTCTTTTTACTCTTGATATTTAGGGAACTTAGAGCAAAATACATTATTGTGTTTTCATGTGATCTTAAATCAAATAGGTAGCTATTAAAATGAACAATAGAAAGGATTTGGTAAGTAAGCTTGCATGTTAGACTTTGATGTAAGGGTTATACTCTATTACTATTAATCGCAAAAGAGCAGATAATTCCCATAGGATTACTTTTTCCTACAGAAACAAAATTAAGTCAGACTGTTTCAAAATTAAGATGCATCACCAGTGTCTTATGGAAGTAGAGTATCTGCTTCTTTTACTTTAAAACTATCTGTTTGGGAGCTGGAAGTGGGGGAGATAACCAGGTGTAGCAGAGTTTATAATGAAGCATAAGTACATCTGCAATGATGTGTCTGGAGTGCCTTTTCCACATTGATGAATTGTTCTAAGCACATCACCTTGTTCCCCTGTTCTTTTGAGTCTTAAATTACTCCTGTAACACGGGCATATATTTAATGGAAACCTCTAAAAGGGATTAAATACTTTACAATATTACAGAATGAAAACCAACCAAAAACCCAGCATCACTCCGAGACTGTCAAATTTTAGCATATTTGAAGCAGAGAAGCCTAGTGACATTCAACCTTTCTCTCTTACAGTGCAAATCTGGCATTTTCCACTCTGATGAAGCAGTTAATGTTACTTTAGAAGTCAACAGTTCTCTGTATTTTGTGATAATATCATGTTATTTTGTTGTAATATAAGGATTTCCTTTGTGTAATTCTTGACATGAAAGCACACAAGAACTTGGTATTTCCTTTCTTTCCAAGTAGCTTTGGTCTTGTGTCGATTCACTCATCCAGGACTTTGCAGGAACACCTAGGAATATGCCTAATGTTTCTAAAACTTGAATGCATACTTAGCATGAAATAAGCATGTAAATATTCCCCTTCCTGGAGAAAAGGCAATGACAAAGAAATAAAGTTCATTATAATCCATTGAAAGCTGCAATATACTAAGCAGTGTACAGACAGATACAAGACGCAAACCTCATGACCTTCTTATCAAAATGGGATTTGTGATTAGTCTCCAAGCCTTGCAACTTTATGACAAAAAGAAGTTATCCTAGGTCAGACTGAATCACAGAATCACAGAATCCTAAGGGTTGGAAGGGACCTCAAAAGATCATCTAGTCCAACCCTCCTGCAAGAGCAGGGTAACCTAGAGTACATCACACAGGAACTTGTCCAGGCGGGCCTTGAATATCTCCCAGTGTAGGAGACTCCACAACTGAAGCTTCCTCTAATAAGTCTGTTGTAAAAACACAGTTTGGCTGTTTCTAAATTAATTGTGTGCAAAAAAGGTAAAAAAAATGAAGAGGGATTTTTTTTTTCTTCTAAAACATTGATTTGTACTAATTAAAGTAATGTTTTTTTTCATAAATACATAATCAAAACTTGAAGTTTAAGGTCAAAGAACCACCATCCACTTACTGCAAGAGTAAGCCTCATAGGCAAATAAGTTCTCTTCCTTTCCAAGGGCTACCAAGAGTGTCATTACTAAGAAAAAGCATCCCACTCATTTCAGCTAAATGTAGACTGCTTGAATTGTAGCACAAACCTTCCTTACAGATACTTCTACAAGAGCAAAATAGTTGTTTCACTCAGGGAAGAATGGATGATGTTTGCTTTAGATCTTCAGTGCCTAAGTGGCTTTTTAACAATTTGTCAATAAGCTTAGTATTTTCTCTGCCCTTCCTTATGCCTCTCTAGCAGCAAAGTGAAAGAGGAGATCCTTGATGCACTGAGAGGGAAGGAACTTCAGTACCAACCTGCTCAGTACTTCACAGGTCATTCTGGTATTTGTCTTTATCCACAGGGTCTGACTGCAAAGAGAGGGAGCCTTCTTGCACCTCCTCTAAAGTCTTCACCCCCTCTGCCAGACACTATACATCACATCCCTGGCACTACCCACCAGCACCTCTTCCAGATCACTTGTATTTTTGTTACTGTAAATACTATAAATGCTTAAAAACGCTTCTCCTAAATATGAACAAAAATTCTAGAGAAAATGAACCAGATTTTATTCAATAAAGAATTACTTTATTTTTTCACCTAGTCAGGTACAGTTATGAGACCATTAAAAAAACAGGGGAGGGGCATTTAAAGTTCTGAACATGCATTGTATCGGTTTACTGGATCAATGTAACAGGAAAAACTATGCTACATCTTGAAACTCTCTAACACACCTGCCTAAAGGAAGGACAAATGTTTAAAAATTACCACTTGCAAATCTAGACAGACTTACTTTGGAGATAGACTTACCTTTGCCAGCATTTCTAGGAGGAAGAGGAGGAGCATCGGCAGTTGGAGAGGTGGGTGAATCTGTGCTTGTAGAAGCGAAGATCTGATTGGTAAAAGCTCCATAGGAGAGTCTTTGCTTGTCTCTGGGAGTGCTAAATGCAGGATGAGTCAGTTTCTCTTGAGGAGAAATGCTTGAAGAGTGACAGAAACTTTGGGGTCTTGGAGATCTTTCTTTTTTTATGGGACTAGGCTGTGAACAGAAAAATGAATGCATTATACAGGTGTAACCAGTAAATATAGTTAGTGTTTGGGAGAAAAGCTAACAGAGCATATTCTAATGAACCGAACATAATTTCTTTCTTTAATGGACCAATAAGCCTATATTCCTCCTCTTAGTGATCCACTGATTCTCTCCTCTAAACGAAAAATATTGTAGCATCAACACATTACCACGTACACAAAGTTAGATTTATTCTTAAAGAAAATACACAATAATAATATAATAAATAATATACCAATAAAAGCCTAGTGAAGTTTTTAGAGTATAACTTTTCAGTTCAAATAGTTCTTTACCCACACCAGACAGTTATCTCAAAGATCAAGTATATTACCCCACTGGTGCATATTAAAAATAGCCTCTTTTGGCACAGCAGATTCATCTGTTGACTGACCTAGCTATATATTCCATGGTACATCTCTTTTAAACGTATCTAATTGCCCTTTGAAGAAATTTTACACAGCAATTTTTAACTGCTGCATGTTAACGGCTGTATATGGAGCACAATCTGTTTTACTGCAGCTCTGGTTCAGGCTATTATCTCCCATACAGCATTTGTTATCCTCCTGAGGCTCCCTGCACAGATAATCATTTTGTTCTCTCCTGTCCTTGAGGACATGCAAATCATTTTTGTTTCTGAATGTTTCAGTCTCATGTGTCACAGAAAATGAAAAGTTGACCACATTTCCTCTCTACAGCACCCGGAGATACAGAGGTGTCTATAGAGATATAGAGAAATAGGAGAGGAGTATTCACATTTATTACAGAAACAGAGCACAGAGTAATTAACTGACTTGCTAAAGTAGAGCACAGAGGCTAAGTTTTCACATATTCTAGCGTGGCAATTATCCTGTGCCCTCAAGTTTTGTCTTTCTGTTACTTCTTAATCAGAAATAAAGTGCACAGCACAGTTTCTGAAAAACAGAGCTCTTTATTCAACAACTCGGGTTTATTAATTTATGGAAAAAATAAATATGGAAGCTTTGGATTTCCTCCAGCTAAAAATTAACAATCTACAATTAAGGGGATAAAATGGCAAAGTAATAAGTAATCTACATTTACTGATTTAGATGAAATTGTATGTCTTGTCAAAGCAAAACCTCTGAAGCTGAAATCCATAATGACTATGTTGACAAAATCAAATCAAAAAGCACTTTGGAAATATTTAATATGAGCCTCAAAACTAGCTTTTGCACCATCCAATAAAATCTGTGAGTAAAAAATGTTCAAGTGGGTCTGTAATTTCCATTCATGTCCACAGAACAGAAATTGTCAGGTTTTGTGCAAATTCCCTGCTTACTTTATCATCTAAGTCATCATCACTTTCATCGATCTCTTCCTGCCGAAGATTCCATTCGTACTCTACATGGACGTGTGGGTTTAACTTTCCTGCCTTGGCTTGAGAAAGCTGAAAGAAAGAAAGGTTCTTGTTAAAATATTTGCTGTTCCTTCAGTGTCAGTGAAGTTTTGTATCAGCAAGTGATGAGCTGAAATATTTAGAAGTTGAAAACTCTTCCTGACATTAAAAAAAAAAAACACAACTTCAGGGCAAATCACACATTAACATCCTTCATTTATTTGAGGTATAGAGAACCAGCCAAGAGGCAGAAGAGAAAATTTTCTCCAAATGGGTAGCAGTTGCCACGTTTGACAAGCGTTTGACTAGATGGCAAGAAGAGAAGGTACAGACACAAAAGCAGAAATGCACTTGGAGCCCTCCTTTCCAAGAAGGGAAGGCAGAACCTACTTACAGGTTCTGGTACATACAGAGATTATCCCTCCAAAGTCACAGTCCTTGTGTTGAATAGAAATAAAGGGTATTTACCCTTTAGTTAAATATATCCCTCCCTCACTGGATGAGGCCAATGTGTCTTAAGCACAAAATTCCTCTACTTTGCCATTTCAAATCATGTACTCAGATTCTTTAAAAACCCACTACTTCACTGATCAGCAAACCCTGGAAAATTGCAGTTCATGGTTATTCTGAGAAGATAAATTTTCTTTATTAATACTTAGATTTCCCATTATCATTTCTATGAGTCTACGATATTTGATAAGTTGTCTATTTGGTACTGCTTGATTCAGGAGAGCCTTTAACCATCTTCCTGAAATAAAATTTGGATCAAATTATTTTCCATCCATTATATAAGTATTCATGAGTTCACTTGAGCTGAAATTGAATTACACAATCAAGACTCCAGCTATGCAAATTTGCTTTGTACATCTACCGCACTGCAAACATCTAGCTATTTATTCTGTAGCTTTTTTATTGCCCATGGCAAACAGTATGATCACTCATATGATGTTTTTACTCTTTACCTTATCTCATTGCCAATTTTGAGAAAAAATGCAGGAATAATTTTTCTGTTAACAAATGGAAAAGGAAAATAAAAAGAGAGAAAATGCTCTATTACAGTTAATTGCAATAATCATAGCATGGTCTGGGTTGGAAAGGACCTTAAGATTATGAAGAAGTTCCAACCCCCTGCCAAGGGCAGGGATGCCTCACACCAAACCATGTCACCCAGGCTTCTGTCCAACCTGGCCTTGAACACTGCCAGTGATGGAGCATTCACAACTTCTTTGGGCAACCTGTTCCGGTGCCTCACCACCCTTACAGTAAAGAACTTCCTTACATCCAATCTAAACTTCCCCCATTTAAGTTTTAACCCATTACCACTTGTCTTATCGCTATAGTCCCCGATGAAGAGTCCCTCCCCAACATCCCTATAGGCCCCCTTCAGATACTAGAAGGCTGCTATGAGGTCCCCATGCAGCCTTCTCTTCTCCAGGCTGAACAGCCTGAATTTCCTCAGCCTATGTTCAAATGGGTGATGCTTCAGCCCCCTTTATCATCCTCATGGCCTCCTCTGGACTTGCTCCAACAGCTCTATGTCCTTATAACCAGTGAGGTATTCCCAGAATTTTGATTATAATAATTGAAACTATTAGCTGCTAGATAAGCTCACTGATCACATCCACTTGGTTTTTTTTTTTTGTTTACAGCACAATCAGTTGGTCCACATTAACAGCTGATGTTATTCTATTAAATATATACTGTTAAGAAAAAAGCAATCCATACCAATTGTATGCTGTATGGCTGATCTGGTTTTCAGCTGACAGAAACACTGTCAACAGCAGAAACAGAACACTGGAAACACAGTGTACTTACTTACACAGCAGACATGGGAGTAATTGAGAAGGTGGTGAGAGTACCAGCTCATCAACCATAGCAAAACATTGATTTGCATCCCCAGAAATATGGAAAATTATTGTGATTTCTGAAGGACAAGCTCTCTTGATTTTGCAATAATTAATTAATACATGACAAGAACTTTCAATTGTCAAATGAAAGGTATTAAAATTACTAGCTGCAGAGCAAAAGTAGATATCCTCCTTGGTTCATCAAAATGAAGCAAAACTGTTCTGAGAAACAGAATTAAGCAGCAAATGGCAGCTGTTTTGTAAATTCTTCTGGTTCTGTGTTGAATATGAAATCACTTAGACTGCTTAAACTTCTTAATCCCTTGGCAGTACTTAAACTCACTTGCCTACTAAATGCATGCTGGTGAGAGGCACTTTAGAGGACTTGAACAAACAAGCTCCTTAGTCTGATGTAGAAACCATATTCTTGGCTAACTGCTTCATAAGAGTACCTGAGAAAATCCTTTAACACCTTTAGTTCCTGAATGCCAATAGGCTTCTTGAGTGGCATCTGTTAGCATTCCTTAAATATTCTCAAAATTCCAGAATGCTTTTGCTCTGATCATGTTCAGTAGAGAGACAAAGTCCAACAGAAGCTGGTGTTCTACATTTTCTGATACCCTAACTTCCAGACATTACACTTTTGCCTCTTTCTCTACCACCTGTGAGGTGGTTTTAATTTCAAGTTATTTCAGTTCTGCTTGTAAGATGACTTTCATCATCTCTGAACTATCTGCCCTGTTAAAGTCATCTGGGAAAAGCCAAAGCAGGAAAAGTCAAAGAAAGATCCAGACCAAAAGGATCTAAAGGACCTCAAAGGTCTTAACAGATTTGAATTTCTATCAGAAGTACAGAGCAACCTCTGAAACAGCTCTAAGAAGAACTTTTAAGGTGATGAAGCCCAAATGTCCTAGAATTGGTATTAACTGGTATTCAAATACCTGTTTGGCAGGTACAAAAGCCCAAACAAAGCCCTGACCAAAGCCTGCAAAAGCTTCTTCTCACAGACAAGATCCCAGGAGAGCTCCCATGTGCATAGCTCTTTACCCACACACATGGTGCTGGCTGGTGGGTGCAGGGGCAGGAAGTTGGGTCCTGAACCCATGGGTGTACAAGACCACATCTGACAACAGCTCAGATCCGAACAGGGCAGCAATGGAGCCCCTTGGGGCAGCCATTTGGAGTTGCTCCTCCTCAGAGCAGTGTTGGCTGCAGTCAGGGACTCTCCTTTAGGTCAGGATGTTGTCCAAGGGAACTCCTCAAGGTAGAGCCCTCCCTTTTAGGTGAGTGATTGCACTTTTTGGATCACTTGCCATAAAGTTTAAGAGTCATCAGTGTAGTGGTGAATCCATGTGAAATCCCAAATCCGTAGTTAATGTTGGTGGAGCTTTAATTGAGTTTGAACCATAAATCTAGTTTAACCTCAATTTATTGGTTCTGTGACAGCTAGACTCTCAAGTATTTAGGGTCTGGTTAAAATATCTAACTACTTCCAACACAAGTAAGATCTTAAACTCTTACAAAGAAAACAACTCTTGCATTTTGAAGTTAGAAAATGTTCACCTATGGTAGGACCTTCAGCCTAGCATACAGCCAGCTCACAGCGATAAAGTCTGAGATACAGTGGAAACACCATCTTCAGCAGACCACATCTTTAAACATACAAACATCCCCCATTCTTCTTCCCCACCCCGGTTCTTACCAGTTCCTCACACTGGACAGCTTTCACTCTTTTTGCCGTGTCCAGAGCAGTCTCTCCAGCTTGGTTGACTACAAAATTAACAATAAAACAGGAGAGTGGTTCTTTGAGATGATTAAAGACTCAATTCTATAAGTTTCAGTATTTTTAGCAGAGTAACTTCTAAAAGTGATCAAAAACATCTATTTACTCTATAGCAGCTGCAACTCTTTAAGATTCCACTCTAAGTGCTCATGCATTTCATGTATCATCAGGTTCTTTCTGATCAGCAGCATCTGCTGGGACACTTCCCAAATCCCTCCTAACCATCCTAGCAGAGAATATAAAGAAATCTAGTCATTCTCCACTCAACTGCTTTGCCAGTAAAACTCTTACATGAATAATCAGGAAAAGCAAAGCTTTAACAGCTTAAAAAAGAAAACTATTTTAAGATTTTAAAAACAGTAAATGTTGATCCAAGCACCTTTTACTTTGATTAGTATGTAGTGGTTTGAAGCCTGAATTTGAAGACAGAAATCCTATTCTAAGATGACATTTGGACAAGAATAATTTTAAAACTCCCTAGCAATTTCTTGTTTTTTAAAAGCCATAAAATGGTTTCCCTTTTTAAATAAGGCCTGATCAGATAGAAGGTGGCATTTGAGCACTCTAAAAGTCCTCTGGCACAACACCTAATGGGATCTTTCCTAGATGATCAGTAGCAAGTCTCAAGAAAAAAGATCAAACCCCACATCCCAACCAGATGTGGACAAACCTTAGGTAAAATTTAGCCTTACAGTATAGCAGTGAATGCCATGGACCTGGAAAAGAGTATGCTCCACATCACATCAGGATTGTAAAGAGTTTCTGTGACTGGGAACTGAAAACAGTCAAACTGAGGGCTCATAAGGAAATATGTCTATCTGTAATATTACACACAGAATGCCAGTCATGAATTCTAGAAAATACAAAGCCTATGTAGAAAATACAAGGGCTAACAGAAAGGCCTATGAATTTGAAAGAATTAGGATCCCTAGAAAGAGGGCTCCTTATAGAAAGATCCAGGATGGTTCAGGAGTTTTAATATGGAAAGGAATGAAAACACAGTATTTAACTGAAGCGAGCACACAGAGAACTTAAAGAGACCAGCCAATTCCAAATTTCAATCTTTAAGTATAAACCTGATGGTTCAAGTCCTAGTGAAGATACATAGTTCCTAAGTGAGAGCATAAAAACAAAGCAAAACAATCCCCAACAAGAAACAGAACCCAAAAGGGTACAAACACCCTTCTGGCATCTACCTAAGAGAGAGTTCAATGGAAGGACCAATAGGCATGCTTAAGCTTGTGCAGACAGCTTTTCCATTTTCTTAATGAGGGATATATCTGTTAAAACAGATTACAACAAATTCTTTGACTTGTGGTAATATTAGAACGTATTCTAAGGATGTATAAGAAGGCCAAGGAACCAGTGACTTCTGCCACCAAGCTATGAACTTAAATTTACGACACAGCTTTTTAGAGGGCAGAGGAGGAAAATTATGGCAATGAGTGAAAAGGTAAAAAAAAAAAAAAAAAAAGTTTATCCTCTTCAGTTTGCACCAACTGTTCATAAAGCTGTCCTCCTATACCAAGAACTGACAGAATGCAAATGTTTCATAGACATGCTGATGAAACTTAGCTCCTGAGCCTGGATTCATGGAGTATCTTCTTAACTCAAAATATGGCAGGGAAAGGAGAGCATCTATTAAACAAGAGATTATCCTAAGTGTAAGCAAACAGTTTACAGAGATTTTATTTTTAATTAGCTTTTGCTAAGCCACGATGAAAAATGGACTGGTTTAGGTACGGCAAGTGTTATACCTATTACACACACGTGGATTGCAAACAGAGGGAGAAATGCAGCTGAAATAGCTAATCCCTTCCCTAATCACCTACAGCGGTGGCTGGGGCACTCTGGGTGAAGACACAGTGCCAAATGACATGAATATTAAAAGAAGAATTAACTGTTGTGTACAGAAAGCCCACCTATGTCTGAAGTGCAATTAACGTGAGCAGCCATTTGAAGCATTATAACAGGCAAGTAGTAGATGACTTTTACAATATAAACAATAAACCTAAATTCCAGGCTGTTTATGATGCATCAGAAAACTATGTATCAGGAAAGCTAGGCTTTACCATTAGTATTTTATATGAGAAAATGTTTGCCACTATTATCTCCTAAGAATTTAAGTTCTATTTCTTAACTGAACACTTCCTTTAGGCTTGTTGATGGTAAAGTTGCCAAATTCCTAACACAGAAGTGGCTAAAATAATAGGAAGAAATGTTAGTAAATCTTTTTTTCCTAGCTTTAAATAATGAACTTACCTACATCAATAGTTGGCTTCCCCCTCAAAAGCAATTTCAAACACTCAGGCTTATTATACATACTGCAGTAGTGTAGAACTGTATTGCCCAGCGCTGTTTGCTTATCCAGGTTTCCACTAAACACAAAAGAAGAAATAATCAAGAGACATCTAGTGTGCAGTGCTGTTTGTCTCAGAGCAAGCATCCCTAGCAGCAATAAATGCATTAATACTTTATGGGACAAATACGGAGTAGAAAGAGAAAGAAATACTTTTCAAGTTAAACATTGCTTTCAAGGACTAGTAAGAATAGTTCCAAACATACTGGAAATTCCTGAGCTGTGGCTGACAAGGACTGAGCATCTACAGGTGTTCATTGAAAAAACAAACAGCAAACTGGAAACTCAGAGATTCAAACCTAATCCTTTGTAAGGTCATGGCAGTTGGTTTTCCCCCTCCACTTTACTGGCATTTCTTTTTCAAACATGCTAAATTAGCCCAATTAAAATATGTGAAAAATCATTCTGATACAGTTAGAACATGCTAGTAAGTCCCACACTTCAAGTTCAAGGAACTACAAAGAGGGTGGCTGTGAGGATGCATAAGAGTGTCATAAGAAGGAATGGAAGGATACAAACTGGGAAAGACAAGCTGTGCAAAGGGGTTCACAGGGCTTTTTAAAACTGTTCTCTCTTTCCATTTTCAATTTCTGAAACAAGGTTTCTTGAAAAAAGTCATGACATACTGAGATCAATTTAATACATTTATAAAAATGAAAAGCTCAGAAAATGACAGCTTTACTTCCACTCAGTATTACCCACACTGAACAGTAAGTGCAGAGCCCATATGGATGTAAAGATGCTCTTAAATTTGAGATTGAGACAAAACTACAGACAGCTGACAAAAACACATAAAGGATGATAGTTATAGAATCATAGAATCACAGAATGGTTAGGGTCGGAAAGGACCTAAAGATCATCCAGTTCCAACCCCTCTGCCATGGGCAGGAACACCTCACACCAGACCATGTCACCCAAGGCCCCGTCCAACCGAGCCCTGAACATTGCCAGAGATGGAGCATTTACCACTTACTTCCTTGGGCAACCCATTCCAGTGCCTCACCACACTCACAGTAAAGAACTTCTTCCTTATATCTAACCTGAACTTCCCCTGTTGAAGCTTAAACCTACCACCCCCTGTCGTATCACTACAGTCCCTGATGTTATGAAGCTTCATAGTTTCTTCACACAAAACAATTTTACATAATAATCCAAAATCACAAATCCTTTAATATTGCTCAGAATAATAATTTGGGCTTCTAAAACAGTTTTCAAATTATGACCTCAGCTTGTAAATAGGAACAGCTTATTTTTTACTGTATTTTATTTTTTTACTTTTAAGAACACTCCTACAATAGTCAGCACTCCATTTAACATGAGGGAGTAGCAGTAGAATAAGTTAAAGTGAAGGTTACACTGCTAGTCCACAGTGGCCAAGAGATGGTGTCAGGAACATGGATTTCAAGTCTGTGCTGTTATCAGAAGACCAAACCTTCTAACACTCCCTACAGACAATGCTACATAAACTATTAGAGAGGGAAAGGAAAAGAACCATGTATTCACTGACTGCACTTCAACAGCGGGAAGGACTCCCCGTGCTGAGGGAGTTGTGATGAATCTTCTGTGTTTCCCCAGTCTTCCTCTCCTCATTCTCCAAAACCCACCACCTGACACAGCAAGTGACTGCCACTTCCTTTGCTTCATGGCATACTGGAGAGGTGGATTGGAATTAATTCCAGCTAATGTTTAATTCTGTTGTGAACCATATGAAAAATAATGTTGTACCATTTAATTTTTTTCAAGTGTTTTCATTAAGGTTTTTCACTTCTGTGAACACATCTCTTGACAACAAAGAATAGCTCAACCTAGATGTTGAAAATTAGTAGTTAAGAAGATCAGGCTGTCAATAACTTTAATACTTTATTAACTACTACAACACCTTTTTTGAAGTCAGCCTAGCTTCTAATCAAATTTATGAGACATATCCTTGTTTTCTACTCTTACAATTTCTTTGCATGTGTCCTGTATTTGCAATGTTTACTTCACCACCTCTCCTTTACCTGAACTATTCATCTGCATTGTTTCATAGTAATGTGTTATAAATCACTGATCTCTTTTGCTCTACATAATTTTTCCATTCATCCTATTTTTATAACTGCTTTCCATGTTTTAACCTACACTTCTGTCCACACTTAGGAGCATAAGGGTCAACTCAAAGGTATTAAAATTATGCTCTTTTGAAGCATATCTAAGGAGCATGTAAGTGATAAGCAAACACTGTCCAAAGCACCACATGGGTAGCTTTGAACATCTACATTTTTCATACATAATGAAAATTGATCAATCCATACCAGTTTTGTACAAGGAAGTCAACCAGATGGAGAGAGGTTTGGTCAGCAGTCCGGACTGCTAAATGAAGTGCTGTTTCACCTGGCTCCTAAACACACACAAATAGAAGTTAGATTTTTTTGTCTTATTCTGCAAAGCTTGTAATATCAGACCTACAAGATATATGTCAATTGGTCTTTCACAAGTCTTTCAAAGGAAAAATGTTATTAGGAAATTATGATGAAAATAGTTATTGCCTTTCTGGATCCTTAAAAGACACCATGTGCTTCAAAGGAAAGAGCATCACACTTTGACATCACAGGTTCCTCAAAACCAGTCTTCTCTTTTTCCCAGCTGGATAGAACAATCTTGAAGACCTTTAACCATTTTAGCTACTAGTAACTACAGTGGATCCTGTCAAGGAATAATGAGTGAGTTCACGTACTTGTTGCTTTATGACACCTTGGTGAGCACTAAGCATACCCAACAAGACTATTTCCTACAAAACCTAGGAAAATCCCCACCAAAATCACAGTCCTACCTACATTAAATCCCTTACAGAATCATAGAATGGTTGAAGTTGGAAGAGACCTGTGGAGGACATCTGGTCCCACCTCCCTCCCCAAGCAGGGCCACCTAAAGCCAATTCTCCAGGACCATGTCCACATGACTCTGGAGTATCTCTCCAAGGTTGGAGGACCCCAAAATCTCCCTGGGCAACCCATGTCAGTGCATAGTTACCTTCACAATAAGAAAAAAATTTCCCCTTGTTCAGAGGGAACCTCCTGTGTTTCAAACTGTGCCCACTGCCTATGGTCCTGTCACTGGGAACCACCGAAATGAGCCTGGCTACATCTTCTTTACACCTTCCCTCTATATATGGGTAAGATCTCCCTGAGCTTTCTCTTCTGAAGTCTGAAAAGTCCCAGATCTCTCAGCCTTTCCTCATGTATCATGTCCTCTGAACACCTCTGTGGCCCTTCGCTGTGTTCTCTCCAGTACATCAAAGTCTCTCTTGTACTGGGGAGACCAGAACTGGACTCGGTACTCCAGCTATGGCCTCACCAGCACTGAGTAGAGGGGAAGGATCACTGCCATCAACGTGGTGGCAGTACTTTGCCTACTGCAGCCTATATACCATTGGCTTTCCTTGCCGCAGGGGCACACTGTTGTCTTATTTCAGCCTGGTGTCCACCAGGACCCCCAGGCCTTTTTCTGCCAAGCTGCTTTCCAGCTGAGTAGTGCCTAGCATATACTAGTGCATGGGCTTGTTCCTCCCCAGATATAGGGCTTCTCTTCATGAACTTAAACAGAATAACACTTCATTTTCTATACATACAACACAAGCATTTATGCATTTAAATGACAATATAAGTTCTGTTTAATTCAAAGTTGATGAGGAATTAATCTAAAACCAGATCTCATTAACTTCTACTGATCAAAAGGGGCATTAAAAATATATTACAGTACACATACTTAAATCACAACTTTAACTAAAAAGACTTTTTAAACATCAGAGAATTTACAGTGCATCAATGTCTTAAATGCAGCCCACATTTCAGGTGGTGCTCACACCTGTCTAGGTATCACCAGCTGAGAAATGCTAAGGAGCTAACCCTGTGGTAACTGCTAAGGATGATAAATATAGAAAGTTCACCTTGTAGATCGAGAATTTGTAATGTGTTTCCATGATAAGCACTCTGTGATATTTCAAGTGCTGAGACCATACTGAACTCCCTTCACTTGATACAGACAGGCACTCTGCCCTTTGCCAAGGTACCTATTTCCACAGAACTTGTTCTTGATTGCTCCAAGTTATGTCCAAAAGTAATGGGAGAAAACATTGCTGACCAACTGGTTACACAGCAGCAATTGTCTATAGAAATGTTACACACAGTGCTTTTTTTCTACATGGATGCTCCAGGTCAAGCTGGGCTGATTTTTCCAAAAAGCTGTCACTGACTTTAGACGGAAGATCAACTATTCAGAAGTTTATTAAAAATAATAAATGAATCTGTCTTCCTGGTTGAAAGAAACTGTACTTCTGTAAATGTTTCATCAGAAGCTGTGAAGGCATTGTATTTTCTTTCCTCACAGAGAAACAGAGACTTGTGCACAGTCATTAATGTGTTCCTTCAACATCTACTACAAAAGCAGATATGATATTGTTTGCGGTATCAGGTGAGCCAGGGTTATCAAGACAAGCCCTTTCTTTCTCTAGGCCTTATCCTAAAGAAACACACTGCAGAACAGGTGCTGTTCAACATAATAGTTGCACCTAGAACAGTATGATACTACTATTACGTTTCACGGTCCTTCAGAGGATTTGATGACAAGTGATACATCTTCTTACCTCCCCAAAGGATGCCACATTTTAGTCTGTTATTTCTCTTGTTTTGCACCTAAGAGAACAGTCCCAGTCCCAGACATTTTACAAATACACATTACTTAAAATACTCTGCTTTGTTTACCTGATAAGCTTACCTGTCCAGGCTCTAACAGTGGCTCCATTAGCTCTACCCCCTCTGCATAGACTTGAATTAGTGCAAGTAAATCCCTGGATTTGACAGCCTCAAGTAATTCACTCAGTTTAGCTGCTGCAGATGCACAAGTCTTCCTGGAGAACTTATGATCTACATATTTAGCAGTGATAAATTCTTTACGTGCAGTCCTGTGGGTGTGAAAATAGAGCTTGGTTTAGAAATATTTAGAAAAATGGGTCAATGACTTAAATTTAAACTCACCTTGCCTAATTCAGGAGCTGAGAAGGGAAGAAGAAAACTATTGATAAAGACCTTATGATGCATGTCAGTCTTGCAAACAAGCCCCAAACAAGGGCTATATTCAATTTTATCCTGCCTTCTTGTTACATACAAAAATTACTCTGACTCTGAGGACTAAGACCAAAAAAAAAACAAAGCCTGAAATGTGATTTCTCATGGAAACATGTCTGTTAAAAAAAAGGACAAGCATGAAAAACATGCTAAAAACTCATTCTAGTGAGCTAGAAAACACCATAATAGGTTAAAAAGCCTTCTGTGGCAAAACAACATCTGTGATGCTCTCTGTGCAGCTCCAACACCAGGGAAAGAAAGAAAAAGCTCATCTCCATCTCAAGACAGTACCTGAACCTGGTGTCATTTAGTCCAACTGTGTCTCTCACCTGAGGAGATGCTACAAAACTCAAAAACTGTCAAGATTCAAAATAATGGATCTTGAAACCCAAACCTGAAGTTTTCTACACCAAGAAGCTGTAGCTTAAATGTGACTGCATGACAAAAGTCTGTACTTCTAAGAAACCCCACAGGTGGAGTAAGAAATCCCTTTCTTCTGCTGTCCCAGCCCTCCTCTGGCTTGGTTACTCTTTAAGACACTTTACATCACATATATATTCCACAGTAAACTTAATGTTAAAGAATTTAAAGATTCTAAACTTACATATCACTTGATGGAGTGGGTTTAGGTGAAGGACTAGGTAAATTCCCTTCCATAATATCATTAAAACTAGTATTTCCTACATTCTTGGCCAGCTGCAATAAGAAAAACAGAATAAAATATACAACAACCTGGACTATTAATGTTCATTTTCCACACTATTGCTAAAAGATGGAACACAACAAATTGCAGACTAAAAGCATAGTGATTACACATATAAAAGAACTGAAATTTTTAAGTGTGAATCTGATCATCCCAGGCACTGCTGCTGTATTTGAAGACAATCAACCTCCAGCATAAGAACAGAATGAGGAACTAGCAGCACAAACACTGAAACAGTTCTAGTACACTAAACAGGAAGTTACTTTTGGAAAGGAGCTCAGACCTACTGCAAAGTCACACTTGGTAAAACTTGATTTAAATCACTACTAACTTTGAAAGCAACTCAAGATTTCAAAAATGCTTCCAGTGCTAATGTTAAACCATACACAAATCCAGAACTGCCTTTTATCTTCTCTCAATTTTCCCATACAAAGTTTCTGTGACAAGTGTCTTCTCAAACACCAAACACAGCTGAGGAGATAAACCTGCCGTAACTGTGTTTTTTCTTTCTTTGTTTTTTGTTTTGTTTTTGTTTGGTTTAGTTTTAGTAGCTGCATCAAATTCCTTGAGTAATTTTAATGTTACAGGGTTTCTTCCATAAAATTAAAAGATTCTCCTAACAATTTTCTGTCAGAATTAGCAATGGTCATTCTCACTTGTCAAGTTAAATTAGCTTTCATTTTCTTTAATTACATGAAATTTTGGGCTGCTCTGATTTAAGGTCAAGATCCGCTAATGAGAGGCAAAATCCTGATGGCACTACTGTCAATATTCATTCTGCAAATTAACATCAGAAGCGACAGATGGTTAAAAGCATCAATAACACATAACAGTAAAAAAACTCCTGTAAGATAGATACAAAAATCTGAAGACAACATTCTGCAAAACACATACCTTGAAAAAATTTAACAGTAAATTATACAGCTGAATGATACCTGTATCCAGAACATCTGACTAGAAAAGAATAAAACAATCCAAATTAAAAGAACTTACCAAGAGTTCAGACGTTCCTAATTTGTCTAATTCCAAAGACTGGATTCGAGAAATATGGACACCCATTTCTCTGTGTATTCCAGAACACTCAATGCAGGTTAAAATGCCCAAGTTAGTTGATAGCCATGTTGGATCTGCAGAATTGCAAAACAACGTATTTAATCAAAGTCCAAGAAAAGTTTTTCAATGGTGGTAAGAAATCCCAATGCATTCTGAAATGATTCCTCATTTAATGCTTTAACAAATGGAAATAAACTAAGAATATTCCATAGTTTTCTCCAAACCACAACGCAAATTTAACCACAGATTGATACCAATGGAATTAAGTTTTTCAGATCTAGAGACAGCCCCAAAGGCACTGAATTCAGATGTACAAATCCATACTGAATGACTGTATTTGAATACATTTAGGATTTTTTTCTTGTAGAAAGTAAGGCCTTTGCTTCCTGTTCTTAAAAGGAACAGATCTCCTAAATTCCACTGTTGGCAACAAAGTTTTAATCTTTACATCTTAAATTTTAAATAGTCTTTCTTCATAAAAGATTGACTATAGCATTTTTCAATATGTAAAACAGTAATATGTTGTAGAACATTTTAGTAATGCTGGCTAGTCCAGGACAAAAAAACATTGCTGCCATGGTAGGAGATCTGCATGTAATATGAGAATAGATCTTACACTATGAATGCTACATAAGAAGCAAGACCATTTTTTAAGGAAAAGAAAAAGCTCCAGACATATTTCCAGACACATACATTTTTTCAAATCAATCCCTTCCTTGATCTTAAATAGTAACTGACAAAGCATTGTCAGGAGTTTTAAAGCAGCAAGCTGGGGTGCAGGAGTGAAGCTTAAAACTTCACTATAAATTAAACGAAGAGTGAGAACCGTAATCTGAATTTCTGTAGCTTTACATCATGGACTAATTGAATGAACCAATTCCAGGATATGACAAAATTATACTCCAGTTTGCATTTTTTATCTAGGTATTTCCTATTTGGATCAGTTCTGCATCAGTGAGCATCTTTAAGACACACACTATCTACTCAGTTCCAAACGAACATCACCTTCATGAACTATCTCTTCAGATGTGAAAGCGGTAGCAGCTGCCAACTACCGTATCAGTTCAGTAGTACTATGACGATTTGACTCATCTCTAGGTTTAAGTGACATGTAACTGACCTGTAACTCTGCACTTCTGAAGATATTATCTGAGAGGATTTCAACTCTGGGTCTCATTCTTTGCACAAGATTAGGTATTTTTGCTACTGCAGTTCCAATAGTCTCATGCCAAGATAAAACCTCAGAGTAAGATCCTGGCCAGGTCAATTTTTCCACAATCATTGTCTAAGCATTACTCACTTCTACTTAGTAGCATGCACAGGATCAGTGATGCCAAGCAACTTCCATTCAAGTGCAACAAGCATCTAGAGACAGTGCAACAAGAACAGTTCAAACTCCAGAGGGGCTTGAACTGCTGGAAGTAAGCACAGACAACACACAAAAATATTTTAGTGAATTAAATGGAACTAATGTACGAAAGTCGTATTTGTTCTTTTAAAAACAGGTTGAAGACTGATCAACACATCACTTAAAAAATTAGTTTGCACTCTACAAACACATCTCTAAAGAAATTACTTTGCTTCCAACAAGAAGTTGATGACATGAACAAATTGAGATACCTGGTGAGCCACAATCACAACAGACTTCATTTCCGGGTAATCTCTGTATGTCATCAATAATGGCTTTTGTCAGATCCTCTAAACTGTTCTCCCCTGTGCTCTGCTCTCCACGGAATGCCATATTTAATGCTTCTTCTTTGCTGTTAGTCAATACTGATATCCATCTAGCACAAGATAAAGACCTTAATGAAGATCTGCATTTGTAAATACAAGTTAACCTATAAACCATAGAAAGCTTGCCAGGAACAAAATATTAGTGGGAATATAAGGAGGGATTGTACTGTGGGAGAGACCGAGTGGGAGGAAAGTGAGAGGTGGAAAGGAAAGATTTGAGAAAAAGTAATAAAGAATGAGAAAAGGCAAAGAGAAAAAGTCTTAATTCTAAAATCCCTTTGGTGAACAATTTAAAGCCAAAGCAGCACAGTTCTCAAGTTCCTCAAATAAGCAGACGCTGTGGAAGAGAAAGGATGCCATTAAGCTCCTGTAAATTTAACTGTTTTAAAAGTAGGTGTCTAAGATCTTCCTGAAATCTATCCCATTACTGAAAGAGAAAATTGCAACCACTACTTTCTCCAGTGTGCATCTCTCTTCACAGAGGAGACAGCAAGCACATTTTTAATGTCCTAATGGCTAGTTGCCTTTCAAAATGCAGGTCTCGGTGCACTCAGAGTCAGACTGTAATGACCAAATTAATGAAAACTGCCATGGCAACAACTAGCTAAAGAAGAGAGCATGGCAGAGGAGTAACCATACTGAGAGCTAACAGAAAAGAGCAACTGTTGAATGCAGCATATCAAGACTCTTCAATAATATTTCAGGCAATGGCTGCCCCCGCTCCCAACCACTCTGCAAGGTTTTGTTTATACAATGATGTTTTAAATGACAACTAACCCAAAAAATCCCTCCCAGGGGCTGCTGCCCTCCCGGTGGAAGTAAAGAAGGGAAAGCAGTGACACTAAGGACAATCATGTTGCAGATGCTCTTTTTCCTAAGTGAGGCAGCACTGCAAGTTAAATATAGAAATCCTCCCAGGTACAATGATTTTAGATCTACTGCAAACACATATTTTTTACATAGGAATATTTTAAACTGGTAGTGTCCTCACATTTCCTGTTTACAATATTCCAATTATCTGCAGTCACCAATCTGCTGAAAGGGATTGAAATGGCTGCGGTCATCTAAGCAAACTTCAGATTGAGATTCATCATTTCTCACTGAAATCATAATGAAAAGACAAACTTTAAAAGGATTTCAGAGAGGAATTCATATACATAATCTTGCAATACAGATTCAGAGCTTGAACTACATATAACTACATATACATATGTTAACTATATATACTGTATATAATAACTTGATATGCATACATTTTTTAAATCTAATGGGCAAAGAATAGTCTGAGAAGTTGGATTTATAAAAACAGAAAATGCTTAAATTATTTAAAAAATCACCCTCAAAAATAAAAGAAATTTAACAAATTAAAACCAAATTTGCCCCATAGTTTATATGCTGAAATCAATGTATTTCCATTATCTCCAGTTATATGATAACATACAAGAACCCACACTAGATGGCATTCTTCTGCAAGTTTTCTGATGACATCCAAGGTTATTAACAAACTCAAGAGGCAGCAGTGTCTTCCTTCTAATATTACAGTAATGTTTGGTTAAACAAGCGGTAAAATAATCATTAAAATCAGGCAGACAACATTTATTCCAGCATTTGATGACAATTTCTTTCAGGGTTACAGTTTGATTAGTTTGTTAAAAAGGCAGAATTTGAATAAAACTCAACTATGCAGGAACAATCAAAAAAATATTAGATGTCATTAAAATAAACACAACATGACTGAGCCAGCTGTTAGTTTGATACAGATCTCCATATTACAGGTTTCTAAACTGGAAGAGCAGTAGCTTATTTTGGTTGTGCTTCCTCAGCTAGAGGGAAGCCCTGCCCAAGGCTGCTTGGCACTGCTGTGTCAGCTTGCCCCAGACAGCAGCAGCAAGGCCCATTGAACACAAGCACAGCAGACACATTCTTAATGACTGGTGCTAATTATACAGGTCCCCCGTTGGTCACCTGGCCTTCTGGCAGGCTGTGCACCCAAACCACACAACTCAAATCAATAAAGATACTAATTCAATGCCAATAGTTTATAAAAACTGCCTTCTGGCTGCTGTTCTTTCTCTTTTTCTTATCTATACAACTATCCTTTTTTGCTTTGTTTTTAAAAAATGTATTTTCTTTATTTTATACCACCAGTGTCAAGGTAACAGTCAGAAAACTTCTGGTAATACCAAGGCCAAGTTGGACGGGGCCTTGAGCAACCCAGTCTAGCAGAAGGTGTCCCCTGCCCATGGTAAGGGGTGGGAACTGGACGATCTCAAAGGTCCTGTCCAACCCAAACCATTCTGTGACTCTATTAATACTTTGTATTGTTCTTTCAAATAATTTAAAATTTACTCAAGTCTTAACAGAACCTCTTTGTCTTCTATCAAATACAGTAAACCAGGTTGCCCAATCTGCTACTACACTTCTCTTTCTGAATCTCTGCAGTCTCACGATCATTTAAGGCATTCTGTTTGCTGGAGATTCCCAGTGCTGAAGAAAATCATGAGGCTAAACAAAAATCTGGCATCATGGGTGACTTCTGGATCCAATGAAGGAGAAGTATTCGTTAGTTTTGGGTGGATTAGTCCAGTATTTCTATGCCAATAAAAGCTCCTCCTTTCCCTCCCCACCAAGACAACAATCAGTTATTTCAGTTTGCAATAAAGGATTATGTCTCTTCTGACAATCACTACTGCAACAGTGTTATTTCCAGGTAAATGCATAAACAGAACAAAAATAGCATAATATTTTTCCAACATTCAGAAACAACTTTTTTGTATGGAAGAAGCAACAGAGAGTATCAAGACCTTCCCATTCCTTTGGTATTCCCAAAGTAAAAAACATCTGAAGACTGATGCTAAACACTATACTGAAGTTAGATGCATGTTTCTTCATAGCAGAAATTTGGAATAGCTTTGTTAATATTCCAGGCATCTCCTACAGAAATCAAGATACTCTTGGGCTTCAAAGAGAGTAGAAAAGAACTAAAATATTTTATCTGGAGCACGTTTGGCCTTATCCACAATTATCAAATACCCAATATCAAATATCCAATTATCAAAGTAGAAAGTACCTCTTATTGCAAATGTTAAAAATAACCTGGTTTTTTAGAGATCTGAGGTTCTGTTTCTCATAATATACACAAATATATATATATGCACATAGACATACCTCCTTCCTCTCCCCCCACACCCACTGTACTATCTATTAGAGAAACTAATAAAACCCACTGAGACTTTAAAGGCAGTCAAGCAGTAATTAAAGGTCAACAGAGAGCTGGCTGGATAAAAATAAGAAACTAAAAAATAATCAAGAAATGCACTGAAGTAAAGGCAATGTTTGAGGGGAAGCAAACCTGTAACAGAACATCGGTTTCACTGATTTGTATTTTAAACCATCTGCTTTTTAAAATCATTATTAGTTTTAACTAGTTTGAGAAGCTATTTAAGGAAGCAGTTTCAAATGCTCACTAGGAAAATGCATGCAAGGTCAATTAAACTAGAGTATAAATGCATCTTTGCTTTTTTCCTCTATTTAGATTTATGGAAGGATTCTGATTCTATGATTCTATAATCTGAAAATCAATTGGTGAACAAAGGAAAAAAGACAGAATGGAGGCGGCATTAAAACTGGGTGGACAAAACACAAGACGGAGAAGAAAAGGTCGACAGTGAGGCACACATATACAATTCAGGTGAAAACCGGAACAAGAGGATGACAACTATAATCAAGGAGCTACATCACATAGCTCCTGCAGAACACTCAAATCGGTAAGATTAGAAGTCAAAGGGTGCTGTTCACATGACACCTTAGATAATAAAGCAATTCAGGACTACTCAGTAGCTGCACAAGAAAAACAGACCATTTGGTTATACAGTAGTTTTTCATCAACACATTAACAGCCATTCTGGATCATGAACTTCAACTAACTAAAGATATTGCAGAAATTTTCCTAAAGGAAAAGAAAGGTAAGTTTCTATGTGCATCTCCAGCAGATACCATTACTTGGGTCACTTAAGCGATCTTCTGAAACGGAACACTTGTCTGAGTAGCATTACAATACCTTTTTGAATGTGGCTTACAGTGCCAATATGGGCAAAATACACTTAGTTTGTGTGCATGTATTTCAGCACTTGCATGCATATAATGTCTCTTCAGCCAAACAAAACTTTTTAAACTTGCATCAGCATTAAGATGCTACACTCCACTGTGCACTGCACTGGCATGGCCCCACCTTGAGTACCGTGTGCAGTTTTAGATGTCTCAGTATAAGGAGGACATCAGACTAGTAGATTGTGTCCAGAGGAGGGCAACCAAGATGGTGAAAGGCCCCAGGGCAAGACTTAGGAGAAGCAGCTGAGGTCACCTGGTTTGTTCAGCCTGGGGAAGAGAAGGCTATGGGGTGCCTTCATCGCAGTTGACACCTTCCTCATGCAGGTGCAGAGAGGAGGAGCTGATCTCCTTTCTCTGGTGACCAGGGGTAGGACACAAAGAAACGGGATGAAGCTGCACTAGGGGAAGTTCAGATGGGACATCAGGAAAAGGTTCTTCACTGAGAGGGTGGTTGGTCACTGGAACAGGCTGGCCCCCAGGGACACAGTCACAGCTCTGAAACTGTCAGAGCTCAAGGAGCATCCAGATGATGCTCTCAGTCACATGGTTTAGTTTTAGGAAATCCTGTGAGGAGCAATGAGTCGGACTTGGTGATCCCGATGGGTGCTTACCAACTTGAGATACTCTATGATTCTGTATTCCAGTACAAGCTATTTTTTCAGCCACTGGACTTTGAAGTGATAAACCAGACTTCAGGGGTAAACAAATGGAAAGTATGCTTTTAACGGGAAACAAAACCAGCCTGGAATTTCAAAACAGGCCAACAGAGAGCTAGCTAAACTGAACTGATAGACCTGCCAATCAGAAGTACATCACTAATGTATTCTCCCCACCTTGCTCATGTGTTAAACAAAACCCTTGACCTTTTAAATCAACAAATTAGTAAAAACTAATTTATGGCAGAGACACAAAACCTTATGACTCACCAAATCCAGTACTGATCAGAAATAACAGTGTTTTCTTCTCGACTGAGAACATCACTGGAATAATTAAATTCCAGAATGACTGCACTAAGCATGACTAGCAGGTCAGCCTTGCACTCTAAGAGCCAGCATAAAGTTGTGGGAGACTCTGGAAGCAAACAGCCGCATGGCAAAGAATTACCCAGCCTCCTCATTTTATCCATGTCTCCCAGCGTTGAACTGTCAATGCCACTGCCTCCCAACACTAGCAAACAACTGAAATACCCTACCAGCATTCCTTGCTCCTTTAAAATACACATGGAGCAACACCATCTTCCATTAGAATATAGGCATGTAACAAAGGAGCACAATAGTCCTGAAGAATGAGGCAGCCTGGAATGCTCAGGCTTGCCGCTTTCTTTTCTAGAGCTGCCAGGTGATGAGCTTGTAGCTTCCTGCACAACTCATTTTTGATAACAGAAATATTCAGGAGGAAAAAAAGTAGTACATAGTTCTCAGGCAAGAAGTAGCTCTGATCCAGCAGGAAGAAAGATTGGTTTAAAGGGAATAATCTGGTTGAAAACACACATTAATGAAGCAATTTACTGGATTCTGAAGTACACAAATCTCAGGTCTGTTTATTTCTAGGCCTACTGTACAAAAGATGCATCGCCTTTGTGTTATATGGAGACCTTTTATCTATTTATTATTTTTAATTTAAAAGAAAAGGTAAGATCAGGAGGAAAACTAGTAACTGCAAAAAAAGAGGTTGACACAGAAGGTTTAAGAGCAAGTAGAAAACATTTCATTTGCCCCTTAATAACCTGATCTACAGTACCTGCCAAGCAACTGCACGCAAACCACGCGCTGGCAGGGTACATGACCTAAATGAAGGTTTGGTTGGTTGGATTTTGTTTTGCTTTTAGTGTTACAGGGTTTTCAAAAAGCCCTGTAGTGGGCACAAAATAGTTTACACTTACAGATTTACAACCGTAGGCACAACTCCTGCATTATTGGGGGTTGGAACCAGACGATCTTAAGGTCCTTTCCAACCCAAACCATTATATGATTCTACGATTAACTGAGAAATGTATTTCCACTGTTAGGTGTTATTTTTATACAGCCTTAATGGCAAAACAAACTTGAAAACTTAGAAATGTTCTTACGCTACGTATTCCTGTTCATCTTCTGCTTGAAAGTGGTATGTTCTGTTATCTGAAATGAATAAATACATATTTTCATTTGGTACATGATACATTCTAAAATAGCTACGTATTTAGTAGGTTACTAAAACCTACTTGGCAACCAAAGCCCTGCAGAGCAATTGCAATTAAGCAGCAACATTAATACTTTATTTATATCTATGGAAAATGATTCCAAGAGAAAAGAAAAAACAGAGAAAGATGGAATAAGCGAATTTTGATTTATGTACATATTTCAAAAGTGTTAGTTTAGAAATATGAAAAATAAGCATGAGTCAAATTTTGCCCTTTTGAAGCAAAACCTTGTCACAAACAAGCAGTATTTATATCACACACAAAACATCTTTTATTCATTTGTCCATTGAACCCATCTTCAAAACTGAAGAGATCTGCACACTTACGAAGCACTGCATGTATCCGGATACAGACCTGAATTTTGAACTATAGCCTTATTTATACTTTTATTTATACTCAAACTATCTTGTAATGACATTTTTGGCAATAATGCATTTGGCAATAAGAGTGCAAGGCAGTACTCAAATTGCTACATACGTGATATTAGATCAAAAGACTTCTTATCTTCAGCATTTGGCTTCACCTGGCAGGTCAATAAATTCAATTTAGCTGGTTGCCTGTTGGACTAAAAAGAAAACTTGATTTACTTTTAAAATGTCTTGATTTAGGATTATTTTTCTTTTCTGGGAGCAGGTATATGTGATATTAATTTAAAGTGTGGGCATGCATACATGTACAACCTCAAAGACGAGACCTGTACGACTTTGTCTGACCTGGCCTCTCAGAATGGACAGACTGCTAAATCTAAAGACTGAAATCTTCACGGCAACTCTTCCTGACTATTTGAAAGGAATTAATGGAATAAACCTAAATTTAGAATATGCTAATACTGAAGGTTTACTTGTATCTCATAAACCAATGGTAAAACTATTATGCAATTTTTCATTACAGCAAGTATTAAATCAACTGTCATAATCTACAACAGTGGGGGAAATAACTGAAGACATTTTAGAAGGCTAAAGAAGAGTTTACTTAACTTCATGCAGCCCACAGGAAGTTTTGAAATTAACCAGCTTTTAGGCTCATTTTCTCACTGATTAGTTGAACAACTTCAATTTCTTTTACAAAATGAATGTGCAGGCATTAAAATGTTTTAAACAGTTAACATCCTATGTAGGAATAAAACATCTATGACATCTATGTATGAGCTAATTATTGGTCTTCCAGTACAGCCAACAGCCAAAACTGAGTTTATAACAAGACATCTGATCAAATTACCCAGACTCTTTTGACTGCATTGACCAATTCTCTCCAGTGGCTAGGAGAGAAGTCTACAAGATCTTGCTCTGATGCAGACAGCTGCACTGCAGCCATTTCATTCTATTCAGCTGAATCTCATCCCATATCTCAAAGGTGTAGTAAGAACAGATGTGCTGCTCCATTTAACCTGAAGTTCCCACTAGTGGTCAGCAGCAGACAATTAGCAAAGAATTCAACAGAGCAAGTGGAACAGTACTTCCATAAATCTGTCTCCAACTTCTGGCAACCCATAGAACTTCAACAGTCAGAAGCAGAAATGGCATATTTTTCTGTAATAGTAGACTAAAACCAGCAGATTCACTAGGAAAGGATAATGTTAATTTACTATTTTAATAAAAAGGCATAAAAATAACTTACCGTTGCATGTGATATGGTAAGAATTCCATTTTTAACAGTGCACTTTCTTCTTTGCCATACTTTCCTTAACCTAAAGAATAACATCAACAACAAATTCGGTAACTAGACATGACTTCAAAACACATGTTTATTCCATTGACATTTTGAGAAGATTAGCCTTGAGAAACAAACAGATGCAGTCAGAATTTTACTAAATGCCTCACCAAAAGCAAATCAGAATTTTATGACAGGTCTTAATCACTTTGCAGAGACTCATAAAAACAATAGCTTTCTTTTTAATATGACTTTGTTTTTTATGATTGCTTGACATGCTTTTTGCATTTACCATATGAAACTCAAATCTGTGCTCAGATTTGAACTGTGAAATTCTTGAGTACTTGCGGCACTTAGAAGAATGTGCCTTAAGCACCCACAGTAGAAAACAATATAATCAGTGCATAAACATGGTAAGAGTTCTCATTATGTACAATGCGCTCCAAGAACATACCCATCACTCTTCTTTAAAAGATAACCTTTCTTCTCACTACCATATTCCTTATTCCCCTGCAGCTGATGCATACTATATCCTCCTTGCCTGCTCTGTGAATCCTAAAAAAGGGAAAAAAACACCATTAATATTTCCTGACATGCACAGTTAAGTTTTCCTAACCTTTAAGCCTCTTTTACTTTATTTCTCTTCTCTACCACAACTCCACAAATTCATAAAGATTTAAAAAGAGAACTCCTACCGCATGTAGGAGTTTACAACCACAGGAAAGCTTGCTTTTACATCACTCGATCCTGAACTAACTGCATGTTCAAGATTCAGTTACTTCATAAGGCAAATATTCATCTCAAAATAATGACTTTTAAAATATAGAAATACTGTAGAATCTTACAGTTAAAGAGTAAAATGCTAAGATAAATTTGCAAAAAGAAAGCAACAGAATATAGCATGCATATATACAGAAAAACACATCTATAAACCAGAATCAAATACTAATTATCACTGGGGTTTTTAATCCAATTAAAAAATATGCACGTAAATCATGAGGTTTAGTGCATGAAGTCAACTGCAAGAACATTTGGCCTGATCTAGTGAAACAATTGAGTGAAACAGATTGTTGTAAGTGCATCAGCAAAAACAAATCCCCCAAAGTTCATTAAAACATTGACTTACTCTCCTAGACTTCGATCACGAAAGGCAAAAGGAACAGAGGGAAGAGAAAGCAAATAATTTAAAACAAGAATTATTATTTTATTTAAAAACCATGTTCCTTGAACATAAATTGCGTAGCCCCCACATCTAGTAAAACGATTCCCCTTTCTAACAACAGTACTAGAAAGAAGGCAAAAATTACTCTTAGGCACACTGGTGTCTTTTCTCATCAAGTAACAAAACATCATAATAGAATCTGTGCAACCTTGCATATATGATATTGGATTAAAAAGCACCTAAGATGACTGAAGGATCAATTCTTATTAAATGCCTTCCACTCTTCAATACGTTTAAATTATCTAAAGTGATAGCTAGACTGCATCCTCCACCAAACCGGAGCCAATTCTGAATTTTCTTCCTTTGAAAAAGATCAGGTCCAAAGTTAGCTTTTAATTTTTTGCAAGTGTATATAAAAAGGTACCATTAAGGACACATTGACAGAGTTTTAAATATAGCTGTGACACATTTATCTGCAAAACATCTGACAAAATCCCACAAAAAGATCAAAAGAAGTTCCATGACTCCCTTGGCAATAACCGTTTCTCTCTCAAAGCAGTTTCTTCCAATTACCGTAACCAATATATACTGAAGATTACTCCCTCCTATTTTATTCAGTGTCCTTACAACTGTTTTTTCATTTGGTAATAAATTCATAATGGGAGTTGAGAGAAGTGTTTGGTGAAACTGCTGGAAGCAGCACAACGGCTGTGTGCAATGTGCCATGTTTACGCTACCACAATAAGGAGCTTTTTTATTACAAGTGTATTTCAAACCTCCTACTTGTATTAGCTTAGGAAAGAATGAAATGAGACATAATTCCTGTTCCAAAGTGTCCATCAGATGGAGATTTGAGGAAAGGAAATAATCAAGAAAACAGACATGAAACATGATTCTAAACACTAGCTACATTCAACTTAGAGCTATTAACTTACATGTGTACCAATAATTAGCATACAAAAATAGGGAATAGAAGACTGTATTTAAGGCCTGGTTTCCTTTAGTATTTCAGCTTCTTAGATGTATAAGCACTCTTCAACATGCAAAATAAATACTTCATACAATTAAAGTTATACTAGTGCTCCTTAAAATATTTCCCCCCAAAACTATAAACCATAGTCATTTTAAAAAGTCAGGTAATTCTTGCACAGAAACTGCCTTAAATTAATTCCGAGACAGTAGATAGCAGCCACAAGAGACATTGCAGGTAACAGAGCCACCGTAAATTGTACTTCACACAGCAATGCCACAGCTGTAGCACTTCAGCACAACCCAAGATTCAAAGACTGTCAAGAAGTGCCAGGTAATTGCAGAGATTTCAGCAAGGGAGGGACAGGTCTGCAGAACAATGTGGACGAGCATTGATGTCCATAATGCTAAATAAACACCTTCAATGAATGCAAGAGTGAAACAAGAGTTGCATGATAAGTCCTCGAGCAAGTGCAGGGTTTTAGTACATTAGTGTTTCTTCCTGAATGAAAGGGTGGGTGCTGAAGAGCAGTTTTTCCCTACATGTTATTCTAAACTCAAAAACATCCTAAATGCTTAGTAGATTTAACAGCTATACAGGAATCATTTGTCATCTGGGACAGCAGGTCAGCCTGGGATGGGCAGGAACTTTCACTTATCTAATGGCAACTCCAAAGAGGTTAACAGTGACAGAATTTAGTTTGGACAGAAATCACTAATTTCAGCTTCCTTGTCTTGTACAAAGGAGCAAAAGAAACTTAAAGCCACACACCAACAGAGCCTCAATTTTAGTATTTCAAATTGTTCCCCTGCCACAGTAATTTTTGATAAGAGTATTTCTGAATCCTTACAAATCCACCAGAGAAAATCCCCTTCATTTCATATTCTTTGATATTTCCATTTATCCATAAATTTTCCAACTGTGAGATTATAATGCACTGAATATAAGGGGGGGAATGTATTCTTAATCACAATCAACCAGGCCATGTGTCACCATAATAAAGCCCAACTTTACATACTTGAAGATTCAGATATGCACAGTGATGGAGAGGTAACTGGTGAAATTCAGGCCCTGTGTCAAGTTTCATTGCCATTTAGCAAAGGAGTAATGACTACTGGCATGCTATTTCAGGATTCAAACATTGAATACCTAAGCAACAGAGACATTGTTTTATCAACCTCCTCAGTATCTGCCAGCATCATTCTGTTCTGACTCATGGAACTCATGAAAGTCATCACGTTGATTTTGAAACAGACACTTGAACATCCATGTGATCAAATGGTTATTTCATCCAAAGCAGTAGATTCTTTCATTACAGCAGATCTCTCCTGATTTGTCTGAATATCTGAGAATCACAGTATTGCTCCTTGTTCTTCTAGGACACATTTCAATTCCTTTCAAGCCAAACACTTTACAACTTTTTCACGTAGCTAACATACATGTAAACACACGTTTTTCAGGAGTCCTAGGATTTCTCTACACTATTAAAAAAGCTGCATAGTTTACTCTGGTGATGCCTCTGAAGCTACTTTATTACAAAACTAAATGAAATACAATTATTCTGTTTTGGTGGAAGGTAACCTAACTTAAAACATAAAAATGAAACAAGTAAAATTGTGAAACTTAGACATGTATTTCATTTAGTTATTCCACCTCATAATACTCTATGAGCAACTTGAGTTGTCCTGTATGCAGCCATGTATGTAGAATACACAGCACCAAAGCATAACCCACTTGTCTTACTTTACTTGCAAGAGCTTGAACTTACTCTACAGACAGGAGAGAAGGAGGTGTTTTTCTTTGCTTCCCAGATAATCAACTTGTGGAAGAAAAAAGGTACACGAGAACAGAGGAGGTCTTGTTCTTCTGTGTGTTGAGAACTGATTCATAAAAACACTTTAGAATTTCCAAACAGCTCTTGAAATTTAATGTTCTCTGTTCCACTTTTGGTGATGAGGATGGAGAATGAGCACGAGTTACATTCAGAGTGATTTAGATGCTGGGGAGACTACAAATGTAACGCATGTATGGGAAGCTCTGCAAGTATTATGGAAGAGATCTAGTAGGTTCATATGCACAGATGGAAGGAAAAGAAGTATCAAGCAGAGCACCGGTATTAGATAGAACTGACAGGTCTACGATAAATTGGGATCTATTCAAAGGTGTGCTGTAGTGCTCCTGTCATCATTTGTGACAAAGAAATTCTGAAAACCGTTGACAGTACAGGGTAAGGCTGTGCTGTCCCTCAGAATGAAGTGATTAAAAGTGCAGGGAAAGGAATAGCATTCTGGCTAAGGTTTATTTGCTATACAGTGTACATCTACATCACGAAAGCACATATAGGCAAGTATTCAAAAGAATAAAAAATCACACCAATACACTATAAGGAATTACTCAGTCATTCCCTATTAACTGTAATTCCACCTTCAAGCCATAATCACAATGTGCTACCTACTAAATTACAGGACAGGCCACACAAATACTTACTTGCCCCAGTTATTGAAGTCCTACTTATGAAGAAGTTCCAAAAGAATTCTAGGAAAGATTTAGTAACCTTCACACCACATAAGGAAGATTAACAAAAACTACTTTTAAAAGTACATTTAGTATTACATACACTGGAAAAATCAGTGCAGCTTTTGTGCATAATACTTATGTCTCAAAAATGTCCTGGAGTTCTCTGAAGGAATTAGCAAGAGGGATCAGACTCGTACAGTGTACCTGGACTTTCAGTGGGCACTTAGTGTTCCTTATGGAAGGTAAAGAATTACATTGCTACAGGACAAGAGAAAAGTCCTCAGATGACCTAAGAAGCAGGAAACAAACAATTGAGTTTCACAGAAAGCCGTGCCAGCACATCTGGTGTGTAACACTAAAACAATTTGGAAAAGGGTGAACAGTCAACTGCCAAAGTTTGCTAGATGGTATTAAATTATTCAGGCTCCCCAACAAAGGCTGACTGAAGAATTTCTGAAAGACCTTAAGACAGTAAACTTGACAATAAACAGCAAGTGAAGATCAGCATAAACAAATGCAAAGCGATGCAGAGGGGAAAACTGAGATAATATGAGTTGACTATTAAGATTCAAAACCAGGATGATATGGTTATACCCTTAAAGCTGATTAAATTACATACACCACCTTCTCTGCACTAAGCACTCCTCAAAAACCAAGTCAATGTTAGGACTTTTCCACACAACATGTAGTAACAGAAGGTGACCATTTACACTGCTTCAAAAAGCAGCTGCACACGTTCAAAGACAGGAAATCCACTGGGTGGTGAAGAGACTGCAAAGACAGTCAAACTACTAATGGGAGGGTATTCGTTTTACTCTAAGAATCCATTAGTGATTGCTGTTGGACACTTGGCTGATGCAGTACCTTTGGTTGCAAATTACATTCTCATGTATATTTGGTATCAGCAACACTGACCCATCAGATATGTGAATGATAATATATATGCAGCAGAATGGCATCTGTTTAATGTTTAATTATTATTAAATATGAATCATTATTATAAATATTTAATCAGCTGAGCAGACACCTAACAAATGCTAATGTTTGCTTACCCTATGTTCAGTTTTCTCTTACGTAAATAAATCTTTTCCTAAAGGAAAGCCCTCCCCCTCCCCAACGCTCAGCTTTACCATGGCATATTCAGTATTTCTGACTCTCAGGCACTATGATTTGGAAAAAGTCACATTATTATTATCTCAGGTAAAAGCTGGGATGTACATTATATCTATCTCCTAGTTCAAAAGGAGTATTCCAGTACATCTGCAATGCACATTGCATATTGCCCCCTCTCTCTGATACCAGTGCAACTGATGTATTTTTAAGTGCCCTGACTCAGCCACTGCTACCTGGTTAACATACAGATTTTCTTCCTTACAGTCCAGTATTAGCAAAAGGCATTTGGGAAGCAGAACAGCAGCACAAAATCCACGTGAGTTGGCAGATGAATAGAAACATAGAAACCACATGTAACTGTAGCTTAGTCAGGATCACATAGGTCAGGAAAATCCTGGACACATTCTGGCTGGGGATGGCAGGACAGAACAAGGAAGTGCGCATTCAACCCATCTGTATTTTTTCCTGAACATTCATTCTTTATCATTGTCAAGGACATGATCCTAGGCTGGATGAAGAATCTATCTGACCCATTACAGCTATTCTTGCAGTACATTAAAAAAGTGCACTAAAAAACTACACAAAAAAAGGAACAATTTCTTTACACACAAAACGGAAACACAAAATTAGTCTAAAATTATTATCTGCTGATATGTAGTTGAACATTCTAAGTGCTAGTTTTGCCATAATGTTCAAAGTCCAACTCTTCTGAACCAGTAAGTACACAAATTAAACCAATTTCTGAAGACATAATTCTTGAATTCACATTATCTCTGAGAATAATGTGTCTAAATGATTTACCTCCTTCTGATCAAGCTGCAGAGAAGATTTTATCAAATCACGAAGGGCAGTAAGCTGTTTCTTTTCTTCATCTTGTGTCTGCTTTATCTATGGAAAGAGATTGCCATTATATGCTTTTTGGCTGTAACTTTCATTTCTTTTATGCGCTGCAATGAACTGGTTTAGGTGTCCTAAAAACCCAGTTCAACTACTCTGTGCTTCTATAATATCTGAGATTATATCCATGGACTAGTCCATTCTTCTGTGTTCACATTCTATGCACACATTACTTGAAAAGCAAGCTAAAATGAATGTACTCTGCATGCTGTGTTCCATGATGCTTTAATGGCTCACTATATCTAATGTAACTAAATTAGTTTTTGAAATATTAATTAAATAACTCCAATAAGCTTGACAGATGTTTTAAGGAATGGAAATACAGTTTAATTTAGCCACAAACTACAATAGCAAATGGGATTATTATAATTCTGATTATAGAATACAAAAGCACTTGGGTGGCAAGCGGGTTTTGATTCCACATTATTACTTGCCTTAAATGAACATCACAAGTTAATTCACTTAAAAACTGCAGTGCTCTCATCAGGCAGTTTGGTTTTTGGAAATTTAAGAGGTAGCTAAAATTGGTGCTAACAATGTAATCCAATTCAGACTCTGAATTGGTTTTATTTTAGTGCAACATTAAATTAGTAATAGAATGAAAGCTACTTTTCCTAATAACTGTAAAAACAGAATAGAAAGTTTAAGATAGACAAGATGTTTTTTCCTTAGTCCAGATATATTCAAAGGACACACTTTGAATTTTTAAGGTACAAATGAAATAAACACCCTTATAGTCATATCTAAAATGTATTTATATAAACAAAATATTTCAATTTTCAGACATGAAACTACTTATAAGTAAACTTACATTATACAGGTCAGCAGCCAACTTTTCAATATATTGTTTAAGTTTATCAGCTGTTTTCAAGCCATCCTGGAAGAAACTACATTGAAAAATACCCGTGATTTATCAGGAATAGGTATAATTCGTAACACAAAGTGGATTGTCTTGGAAAAAAAAATACCAGACAAAACCCAATAAAATTTATCCAGCTCCTCCATGTTCACAAACAAAGCAACAACAAACCCTCAACAAAACCAGCCTTCCTAGTCTTTTTAAACTACAATACCTTTCAGGAGTGGAGATACACTGCTGTGACTTTAACAATTATCAAATTAGGGAGAATACAGTTTAGATTATTTTTATTCCTGCAACATGTTTCCCCTTTACGATTTCTAAAATCTTTTTCCTGTATTTAACCTAAGTTCCTGCACATTTGCCTTTGTGGTTCTACTGATGACAAAGTTGTACTTGACATTTTCACATCAAGGAATTTGAAAGAAATCACTGGCTGTCACAATGGTTTTAAATTTTACATATACTCTAAAAACTAATAGATAGAATAAAGAAGCTGTTTCTATAACTACTTTCTAGATCTATGCCTCATGAACTAAAATTAATCCTGTATGCAACGTGAGGTTTTCCCTTGGCTCCTTTCTCCATCACTCCCCTACCCCAGTCACTAACTCTCATACTCTCTACTGACTGACTACAGTAAGATGAAGGTGCAGACACCTGGTAGATTACAATTATGATACAGAAATTATTCATGCAACCAAAGCAAAGTCAAAACAAAATGAAACAAACATATATGTAAAAAAGGAAATGGTAACTAAAGCTTGAAAGCCTTACACTTACTTGCATTGTGCATGGTAATACTTAATCAGGTTCTGCAGAAGGTCCACACCCTTTTTTGTCTTTATTTCATTAACCTTAATAAGATACTGTACAGACAGTGAAAAACATGTTGGTAATTACTCCTCACAACCTTCAACAGTTTTTAATCAATAAAACATAATTTCCTCAATGAATTAATCTCTCTGTGCTTAAGCTGTGTGCTGACTCAGAAGCCACCAGTCCACCACAGTTTAGCAGTTTATTTGGCCATTCCAAGAAATTCCAACACTCCAAACACATGCAACATTTTCAAGAAAAAGTTTCATCTTTTACAACTGTCTTAAGATATTCCTTTTTAAATGCAATTACTGGCATATTCTAAAAATGTAAATACTTTGCAATAGAGTACTCATAACTAAAATGTAATATAGAGAACTATTAATATAAAAAGCAGTTTTATGGAACTAACAGATCACTATAATTCATAGCTTCAATGGAAATTTTAAAAGGCTTCCAAAAGCACGTTGGAAGAAAGAGATCAAAAATACTTCCTGAATGGCTCAACCATAAACCTTAAAAAATAAGAAATATTTCCATAGCATAGACTCAGCACAACCTTAGCATAATAATCTAACAAGAAAGGAATAAACCAAAAGGAAGTCAAGTTTTGTAGAGTTGCTAAAAGAATTATCTTTATATTGATGTACTGTGTGACCTCGAGATCATTGCCTCCCTCCACCCCCATTAAACAACAAATTAGGTTTCACCCCCTTTAAGTAAAAGGGTCCACAAGTTATGGCATCATAAAAGCTGGAACTTGCTTCTTACTTCACACATCTGTAGCTGAAATAGTCGCCTTTCCTTCTCCATTTCCTCTGCTATCTCGGCTCCTGTTATTTCAGTTCTTATCATCCCATGCTGTTTTGCATGTTCTCTTTTTTCCTTTTCAATTTTCGTGCTGAAATTTTAATTACAAAACATTTTAAAGGATTTCTTCTACTAACATGTGACCTTGTATTATTTAGGGAAGGGAAAAAAAATCAAAAAACATCGAGAAATGCCATCCAGAGGGACCTTGACACACTTGTGAGGTGGGCTGATGCCAACCTCATGAAGTTTAACCATGACAGGTGCAAGGTCCTACACTTGGGTCAGAGCAATCCCAGGCACAGCTACAGGTTGGGTAGAGAAGAGATTCAGAGCAGCCCTGAGGAGAAGAACTTGGGGGTGTTGGTTGATGAGAAAATGAACATGAGCCAGCTTCAGTGTGCACTTGCAGCCCAGAAAGCCAACCCTATCCTGGGCTGCATCAAAAGGATCATGACCAGCAGGTCGAAGGAGGTGATCCTGCCCCTCTACTCTGCTCTTGTGAGACCTCACCTGGAGTACTGTGTGCAGTTCTGGGGTCCTCAACATAAAAAGGACATGGAACTGTTGGAACAAGTCCAGAGAAGGGCCAAGAGGATGATCAGGGGACTGGAGCACCTCCCATATGAAGACAGGCTGAGGAAGTTGGGGCTGTTCAGCCTGGAGAAGAGAAGCTGTGTGGAGACCTCATAGCAGCCTTCCAATATCTGAAGGGGGCCTATAGGGATGCTGGGGAGGGACTCTTCATTAGGGACTGTAGTGACAGGCCAAATGGTAACGGGTTAATACTTAAACAGGGGAAGTTTAGATTGGATATAAGGAGGAAATTCTTTCCTGTTAAGGTGGTGAAGCACTGGAATGGGTTGCCCAGGGAGGTTGTGAATGCTCCATCCCTGGTAGTGCTCAAGACCAGGTTTGATGAGGCCTTGGGTGATATGGTTTAGTGTGAGGTGCCCCTGCCCATGGCGGGGGGGTTGGAACTTGATGATCTTAAGGTCCTTTCCAACCCTAACTATTCTATGATTTATGAAACATTTATTAACGCTGATAATAAATATTGCAGCACTTCTTAGTGGCCTGACTTTTTCCTTTCATAACTTTCCCCCCAACCTTCTGGTTATAGACAAATGAGACAAAATTAATAATAGGATTAAAAAGGGGAATAAATTGAAGGATACAAAATATGAATTAACTCCTGAGGGCTCTTGAATTCTGATAAAGCAACTGCACACCACTTCCTTGAGAGCATTCCAAACCATTCCACTAACAGTTCTGCAACTGTGATACTACTGGTTTCCAACCTTCTATTTTTATAAATCATCCTTTACCCAGAAAAGACAGGTATTATAGCAAGAAAGTATTTTTTAAAGCCACAGATATTTCAGAAGTCACACCAACTCCACTAAAATTCTTGTCTCAGAAAAACACAGTTCTGCAATACAGGACAACACATAAATCTCACTTTTTATTATAGATATATTTTATGTATATGGTTATGTGTAAATGCCACCTGAAATCTCACAATTCCTTTTACCATGGTCAGTATCTGTGCATTAAGTATGTTCTTTACTACTTCATAAAGCAACTAAAATAGTCTCTATTAGCGCAGAAGAGAGATCCACAGAGGAGATGCCTTGCTCATATTCACATTCATATCCACAGATACAGCACATGGTTTGGGAAGAGGAGGGAATGGGGGTAAGGGAGAAAAATACTTACAATTTGGTTTCATAATCCTTCCAGGCTTTGTCAAAAGGTTTTTTGAGGTCCTTAGGAAACAGAAAAATCACACAGAGCATTTTTAAAGCTTTGCCATTATGCTTACTAGACACTAAGTTATAAACAGCAATAAAAAAATACTGTTTTCTTTTAAAACTTTTCAGGCAACATTTGGAAAACAATGCTATTTTTGAATCTTGTAAAGCAGTGCCTTCCTGGGCATGTTAAGACACGAATTTACAATAAAATTCTAAAGCAGCATCAGAGTCCAGGCAATTTTTAATTTGCTCTTTGGATTACATACATATGAATGGATGCCAATGTAAGAAATACTCCCCTGGATGAATGAAAAAAAGTCACAAGGCAACTGAACCTGAAACCATGTCCTTAAATAAAGTTTTCAACACTTACCCCTTTAACACCTTTTAGGTCTCCTTTTAAGAGAGAATCCAAAGTGAAAATAACATTGTGGCTTAAACCTTGGAGCTAAAGAGAAAAACATTACACTGTTATAATTCAAAAAAGACCTATTGTGATCTTATCAAACTCCTGTCAACAACGAAGTTGCAATCACCTCAAGATGTATAAATTAATGGTAAATTCAAATCTGGGAAGAATTACTAAATATTCATAAACAGACATAGAAGCATTATGATTATTCTTCATTATAAAGGGTAATAATTTAAAAGTAGCATATAAGCAAAGTTCTGAAAGTACCTCAAGGTAATCTCCAGTCTTGAAGCAAACATTTGAACACTGCTTAATTATTTAGGAAGCAAATTAGGTTTTGGAACAAATGTTTCTTATAGCCTCCTGAGGAAAAAGCAAGGACCTGCTGTGCTACAGGCAGACAACACGCAAGGCGCATGTTAATTCAGCCTCAAACAAAAGGAGCAAAGAGAGTCACCAGCTCTTTGATTATTCCCAGCTAGTTGCAAAGACTGTTCCTTTCCCTGTCCAGTGTGGAAATCTGGCATCTCCTTAAACTCACCAGAGTTTAAATTTCACCCCATTAAGTCCATGCCTGTTTGATTACATATCTCTGGATATGTTCCATTTGTCTTTGCCAATGTGAATTTAGGAAACCCCACTGCTGTGATCCTATCTGAGCACGTATGGGGTGCATGGCTCTCAAACGGTCATGACCACAGCAAAGACACATGTATCAGTACTACCCCAGTCTAATGAGAAGTCTGTTGCATCTCCGACTTCATCCCTCCATTTCTCCCCCAAAATACTCAATGAATTCTCCCGTTCCTTGCTAAAGAAGGACAGGGAGAACAATAGGAAGGCTGCAAAATATCACATCCTCTGCTTGTAAAGCAAAGAAGTAGGGAAGTGTTACATTAGTGTTTCTAACCCATCATATGTATGGCCCAGCTCCCCTCTCCTATAATGTCTTCAGAGCATATTTTAGTCCACAAAACTGAGTTTTAAGGGACTTTTGTGAAATAGATGATTCACACAGATGACAGTATCTAAATGACCACTCAAACAGGTTTTTCAGGTGTAAAGTTCCAGTCACAAACTCCATGTATATCCAAAAGCCATGTATGAAAAATTCAATATTCCATTTTCAAGTGACATTATGCAATTTTAAATACATGCACATAAAAATTTCTCCTTTGTTGCAACAATTAATGCTCAAATACTGATTTTGAAAAAGCAACTTGATCACTTTTAGTGATTAAAACCCCAAAAGATCTTTTTTCTTCACCTGACATCATTAAGGAGTTTGTAGCAGATAGTCTAAGCTTCGATTCTATTTTATGAGCTAGATTCTGTTTTTCTTTCTACTGAGCTTAATCATTTGCATGACCCCCACACAATATTATTTCACAATGGAAATAAAAGGAGCCTGGGAATTTTAGAGGATTATTCCTTTCTGCAGTTTGCCCTCCATTGGATTTTTATCTCAATCCATCACAACCGACAACTCCATTGCAATGTCAGTTTTGTCAGAGAAGGAAAAGAATTATGAATATTAAGCCTACAAGTGATTAAGCTTTCTACTTTATCAACACACTGATTGAAGAATAGCTATTGCTGTTTTCATTCTCAACCATTTAAATCTGTTTCCACTTAAGCTAAACTGAAGTTCATATCTCAAATGTGAATTTTGAAAAACAGTAGTCAAAAGGCATGAACAACAGTACATTAGTCCAGCTTTTTTCATTTTTCCAAGTGTATCCGTTAAGGATAACCAATTCAAGCCACTAATACTTGGCTTGAAATTACTGAACAATAGCCAGCTAGTCAAAATAAAAATCCCATCTAAATAGTAGTATCTTACTCCAATATGGCAAGATTTTGGAATTGTTTATTACATTGTTGAAGATTTGATAAAACAGTAGCTGGAATGAATTGGAAACATGTCTGATAAAGCAAAACAGTCTCATATCTAGAGCAAAATATGGGAAAACCCTTTAACAGATGGAAACACATATGATAATTTGGCAAGGAGGGATGTGAACAGAAGATAATTGGTACACAAAGATTAGCTGAGGACATTTAGAGAAAAGGGAGGTGGGAAAAACAGGCCTTAAGCACTTAGAAAAAGCCAAGCACCATGTACAGTAACAGAAAAAAACAAGTCATCTGCAAGCACTGCCAATGTTCTTCCCAAACCTCATCTAGATCAATTTAAAGATACCAATGCAGTCATTTTCACATATGCAATCTTCAAACAGTTTTTTAATGAACTATTATAATGAATTACTGCAGAAAGAATGAAACATGGAACAGGAAAGGAGATGGGACACCCCAAGAATGTTGAAAACCTAGACCAGTGTTGACAATGGAAAAAACCTAATGAAGTATGAAAGTCCTCACCAGGTTCTTCAGCAGCGTTGATAATTCTTTAGTAAGCGTGGAAAACTTTACAAAAGCTGTGCCAAGATCTGGATTATCCCGACTTAAAAAATTACTTCCGAATTTATCTAGTACTTGTGCATAGTTTTCTTCATTTTGGACATGATCTGAAAAGAAGAAAAAGTCAAAAATGATCATTTTAATATTGAAAAAAATTACAAATAGGCAGGTATATGCTTCTTTTAAATCAGCAACTTGAATGTGTAGCACATCAAGGATAAAAGCTCTGTAGTTATCTATAAAGTAGTAAGATCAAGCAAAGGTCAATCAAGCTAAGTACATGTGCTCGTTTTGTGAGCTACGCAGGAATTTATAAGTGTCTACTGTAATGCAAGCTACTTTTAATTGTAATGTAGGCACTTACAGAACAGAAAAAGTCAATAGCGTCAGATATAAAAGGAGACCAAGCCTGAACATGACTGCAAGAAGAAACAGGTCTTATAGACAAATATTCCCTTTTCAAGTGCTTTGAAAACCAGAGCTACCACACAGGATGCAATGTGTTGCGGTACATCGCCAAAGACTTGCTTCAATGTTAATGGCAAACTGCATGCACAGAGAGGTCAGAACAAGATGATGACATTTAAGTCAGAGAAAGGAAGCAAAAATCCTTAACTCAAGGATGAAGGAAGTTCTGAATTAGAAACCACTGTGCCCAAAATGCTTTCCTGCTTCTATTAATTTCCTTTCTGGCATCTGTTTGCATATTTTCTTTTATTTCAATTTAGTATCTTTAAATAGAAAGTTTGCCACTGCATCCCCTAGGAACAAAACTCCATCTCTTAGAGGAATATTGGTGGTATTAATTATTTCACCTTAATGAGTTTCCTAGTCTTACTATGGTTTTTTTTCCTACCAGCCACAAATACAAAACCACAGAGCTACTGAACTAGATGTGTGTAATGACAGGGGGAAGAAAGAGAAAATAGTTGCCAATAGGTACCATGTTTTTACCACAAACCCACAAGTTTTATATTCTTCAAGCTGTCATATTGCCTGAGAGCAACTGAACTACAAGGAATGGGGGAAAGAAAACTGAAGACCTAAGTTTCAAACAAGGCCAGTGGGTAATGCCCCACAATACATGAATCTACTTTGACATTAACCAAGAGCCAATGTAGAGTTAAACAATCACAGTTTTTAAGGTATTATGGGTACACAAAACAACAGTGCACTAAAGCTCCAACAAAACCTAGTGAAGACCTATAAGATGACAAAAAAAATATTTGCAATATTTATTTATCCAAAACAAAGCCCAAACCCCACGTATTTGACAAGTTCCATTCTAAACAGACATTAACACTGAGGTTTTCAAAATGCCAAATATTTAATCGTATGATAATATGGAATTGTAATTCAAGCAGTATGTTTTTAAATGAAACTGTTCAAAAACCGTATGGTTTTAATCCAAGTGGCTTAGCATCAAATCCAAGGAAACCACTATATAATAATAAAATCTGCATTTTGTTTTGACATAAAAGCTGTTGCATAAATATAAACAGAAGACTTTATCTAGGAAGGAGCTTTGGCTTATGCAGTCCTGAGATAATATAGCTCAAATGTACTGAACAGTGCTGAAAGAAAAGGAAGGAGAATGGAATAAGGTCAGGAGAAGTCTGCTAGATCATGAAACCCCTATCCGTGCCTGTGAAGCCCGTCTAACCCCACAATGACTCTCAGTATTTTGATTTTAAGCACTGTGTCGTTTCACAGAGTATTTTCAAAAGTGATTTCATAGAAAGACTGAAAAAGAGCTGGAGACAAGGACTGCTTTCTTTATCTGTGGAAAGGCAAAAAAATTCCCCATCAGAAAGAGGAAGCAGGGAGTGGATCATTGTCCTGGAACAATATATAGGAAATTCTCAAGAATCCCAGACTACAAATCACCTAAATCTAGACATGAGGCTTTGATTATGATGTAAAGGGAATATTCTGTAGTTACCACACACACAACATTCAAGTACTGTGTAAGAATAATAGATTGCCATTTTTTACATAGCTATCAGTGTAAATCTTGTCAAACGAGAGGAAAAAAAACTTTGTGTTGAAGAGGTAAGGCTGTTCCCTACTTGACCTTAACGGCAGACTCATGCAACGTAGCCTGTGCTAAAATGTAACATACATAAGCCAACATGCTTAAAGCAAAGAACATGCTTTAATCTCCCTGTACTTACATGAGTGCCTCATGCAAACACAGAAAAAACTTCCTAGTATCCCAATAGAATTTTCTTTGCAAAGAGAAAGCTGTAACATGCATGTTTACTTCCTTAGACACAAGTACTGTAGGAAGGACTCTAATAACCCTAGAGAGGGAGGCATGATACTGACAGCAGTACATAAAAAAGATAATGTTTGTCTTCTACAACCAGTTCATATCTTCTCAATAACATAAACAAAGCTCAGTACTATGATGAAAACAAAACAGCTTCCCCAAAGAGACATTCTCCTCCTTCAGCAGCTACCTGAGAGGTGCCAGGACCATGGACAATTAAGTCTCTAAACCCACTCCCTTCAAAATGAATATAGGCAGGGACAGGGGCCTCACCAATCACTACCCAACAGGATCTGGTAGGGCATCCAGTACATGAGTCCATGGTTAGAACCTCAATACAGAACAGTAGATGTAGCATAAAGACACGTATTAGACCAGATACAGCAGTGGTATTTTCTGGGCTGAAAGATCAGAGAATCACAGAATGGTTTCGGTTGGAAGGGACCTTAAAGCTCATCCAGTTCCAACCCCCTGCCACAGGCAGGGACACCTTCCACTAGACCAGGTTGCTCAAAGCCCCATCCAGCCTGGCCTTGAACACTACCAAGGATGGGGCAAGCTCAGCTTCTCAGTGCAACCTGTTCTACCGCCTCATCAATTTCATAGTGAGGAATTTCTTCCTTACGTATGCATCTTCTCCATAATCCACCCCGTCACCTCTGTGTAACACCCAGCACAGGATTTACCTTTGAGAAAACCCTGGTAGGGTGCAGTGCACAGCAATGTTGTGGCATCCCATACTTCAGTGCTACAACCTGTATATTGAAGATTACATATTAAGAAGAAATAATACAAACACATCTGAAGATGCAGATCCAAGCAAGTGAGGAAGAACTGAAGCCTTAGCAGCTTACAGCAGCCTGTTGCTGCACAGCACTACTCACCAGAAGCAGGGAGCACACCTACTTTGAGCCCCGAGCATCCAGAATTTAAGGACTCCCACGGCTGAATCCCACCTTGTTCTGCTGCCCCAGGCAGTCACCTGAAGCTATGTCTAAAGTCAACTTGTGGTAAAAACTTTCCCCAGGACAAAGACAAAACTCTTTCACTGAAACTCGTAACATTCAGTAAGTGCTATGCTTATTTCCCATTAAATAATTACCAGAATTTAGACTATGCTTCAGAACCCAGTGAAATTCATGTCTAATTGTGCACATTAAGTAAGGAAACTGAAGAACAAATACTGTGAAGAGAGGCTAAAGAACAGCCTTTATATAGTGGAGCTAGAAAACACAGCACTAAAATTTAAGCCTTAAAGTCTCCTTTTGTTCACATATATTACTTTGCAAACACTTAATAATAAGACTAATAATATAATTATTCAGAATCCTCATCAGCTTGAAGCTATTTTTATGTTGCACTTCATAAAATGGCTTTATTCCAAGGGTAGCTGGAGGAAAAATAACCAAGGTCAGAGCCAAGCTGCACTTATGAATGAAAAAAGACTCAGAAAGACTTTAGAAAAAGCAAGCAAGCTGGCGAGGTTAAAAACGATGGCAAAAGAAGTTTGCATCCATTTTCATTTCATCCTTCACAAAGGTGAAATGTAATGAAAAAATAAGAGAAAAGAAAAAGGATATTTGAGCACCATATTCTTATCTGGCATTGATGAAAATAATGTCTTTTGGACTGACATTGCTGAAGGGAAAAGTAATAAAAGCCTCTCTCAAAGATTCCCAGTGCAAGGAGTGTCTCAGGGAGTCTGCAAGGTTCTCTAGACCATGTAAAGCAGAGAGATAACCAGCCCAGAAAGGTAAATGACTCCTTTTTGCACCTGTGTTCATTGCTGCCACGCTTGGGAAGTTCTCATGGAAGGATTTTCTTTTAACTCTGCTTCGGAGGACTTATACCAAATCCAAGTGCTAAGAGTAGAATTCATAAAAGTTGACAAAATGAGTAATGGCAAGTCACTCACACCCACACACAGAAGAATAAAACAGGCAAACTATCGTTGTAAAGTAAAGCATCTTATTTAAAACAGCCTCTATACTACAGGGAGAATGAGAAGCAAATATAAGGGTTATTTTTTAATAAGAACTCCAGAGGAAACTGAGAATTCCAGTATGCAGCAGCAGAGCGGTAACGCTTACATATTCTTCAGGCAATTTGTAGAAACTACAGTGTGGAACAGCATTGGTAGACATGCAGGTAAATGCAAAATGCTGAACGACAAACACAGGTTTCATAAAAATAAATGTTTACTTAAAAAAAACAACTACCCCCCTCCAGTGAACTGAACACATGGTGGCAAGAAATCCACATGAAATGATCTGTCTGGATTTCTGAGAAGGTCTGGCCCCACCAAAACAGGAAAAAGGAATTCAGCTAAGAGGCATAAGCCTCACACAGAGGCATGGTGGGGGAAAGGGAAGAATAAAGAGTTCATTTTCTCAACAGAGGGAGGTCACCAGTGAAATCCTGTATGAAACAGTGACAAGGCCCACATCACTTTACGACATATGAGTTAGGAAGTAAGATTCATAGTGATAAACTTTGTTGTTCTTTTCCATACAATACTAGAAATTATTCAGGGAAACGGAAACAAAAGCTGACCCTAAAGGTGACATTAATCTGTCCAAACACAGACCTCTACAACAAAGGTACCCATATAGGAGCTGCGGGTCTACCCCTTCTCCTTCCACTCAACACAGGAAAAATTACAGCTCAGCTCATCTTACAGTAACTGCAGAGGCAGTATCTCACCCTAGAAATCTCTACATACATGCATTACTTGTGCACAGAGTCTAGAGCGACAGGCTCACAGATGGGTAGCTCCCAAATTATATATGGAATCCCACGCTGAATGGCCAGTGCATGAACATGTGCATTAGGCAGGGTAACATTTGAGGGAAAACACTTCTAACTTCAAGAAACAACTGTGCAACTAGAAAGGGTCTTGGGTTACATCATCTTGACATTCAATATCAAGCAAAACAAAGCTGAACATCAGAAATTATTAAGAAACACAGCATGCATCAGGGCAACACAGAAGCATCACCCTTGTGTGCTTAAACCCTTAAGACTGTATGCAGTTCCTACTCTGTTGCCTGAAATTCACTCTTCTTCCTCCTTGTTTTTGAAAAGAAAGTCTATGCTGCCTTGGAGGAGAGTAAGGATGATTAAATGCACAGTTTCTGTAAAAAAAAAAATCCCCAACCATTAACCTCAAAAAGAAAGATACTGTGGGTGGTTATGGAAACAATTCAATTCAAAAACCTATTTCAAGAGATAGGATGGATGGGACTGAATCAAGTCTTGATTCATCCACCAAGAAGTCCTCTGTCACTACTCAAGCGAGCTTTGGCACTTTCAAGCCCCCTACAAACCCTCATGCCCCAGAACAAGTCCCTCAATTTCCCATCAGCTGTGTCATTGTGGTGGGCCTGAGGCCAATGCTTTAAGACATGGATAGGGCCAGTCTCCTCATCAAGGGACTTAAGGCCTAAGGAGCATGATCAGCATCACTTAGCAAGAGAACATTTAACAGGGCTGATGGAAGACTATGAATGATAAAGATTTCCATGAATTTAATTTCTTTAGACAAAATGAGCTGTACAAGTCTGCTAACAAGTACTCAGCATCATGGTATGTGTCCCGACACGGATAATTCCTGGCCTTCAGATCACTGTGAGCTGAGAAAGTGTTTGAAAATAATTAACTTATAAAAATATACTCCCATCTTTGCACTGTTCTACTCCCTCAGGCATCTGCTGTTGATCACTGCAGGAGGCCATGTGGACTGAGCTGACCCAGCTCAGTACTGTAGGGCTTGCATGGAGCTTTATGGTTTTATTTCTCTATTGTGTAAATTCTTTTGGCTATATTTGGGAGTTATACCAGGGAAGTAATGAAAAAGAGCTATTGAAAATCTACAACAAAACTAATTGTGCAATCCACGTCTGCTTCAATTCAATCCAAATGTTATGGGAAAGCCAGTCAGAACAGATTCTCTAAGAAGTTCAAGCACCGCTCACGTAAGATGGGTTCCTGCTTACAGATGCAATCTATCATGTCTGAAGTAAACAGCAAGGCAGATAAGGAGGAAGTGGTGAGAAAGAGGCACCAATTCGTGCGTCTCACTGGATTTCATAAACAGTACTTTCCCAAACAGTACTTTCAGATTGGGAAAAAAGGATGAGGCTTTTCTAAGGGATTTCCACATTTCTGGGCTGGTATGTTTTCCTTTCCACTGCAGAAGGTCTAAATCTAAATATGACAAATGGGTGAATGATGTACACAAAAAGCAGAAAGTATTTGGGGGACATTTAAGCTCTCTTTGTAACATACGAGAGTCCCTTGTGACCCACCATTCAGCAATGAAGAGGAATGAACCAACACAACAGAGAGCTAAGGCTTTCTGAAGAATTCTGTATGAGATACTGCAGCGTGTGAATGCTACTCTTCAAACGTAACTCCAGGCAAAAAACAAACCAAACCCCCCACTAATATAGCCCCAGAAATCCTACCTATAATTTTTTGTAGGAGTATGAATTGGATTACTGAACTGGAGAGAGAAGAGTTTCTATTGCCTCTGGATAACCACTTCTCACCAGCCCAGCTGAGTTCTGAAAGGAGACTATGAAGCAGGGGAGTTTTTAAAAAGACATTTCCGACTCCAGTAGTTTAAACACGGCCTCACCTTCTGGCAAACAAATTTGTGAAACAAATTCCAATTCTGAGATCTCAAACTGTTGTTAGAGGCCTTCTTTTGAAATACAAAAATAGTCAATTCCTTCTTGAACTGATAAACAACACTGCATTTTACAGCTGGTTTTAGTATGGTTTAAGTGAAGTTAAACATCAAAAGCCACTTTCATCACTGAAGCATAAGAAAATAGCTGGCTTACAGGCAAAATGAGTTTGAGTTTTAATTCAGTTACTTTATACTCAACAAGGTTTCACACACATAACACATGCTTTCAGTCTTGCTTTTACTAACACTAGTTCATGTTTCTCAATTACTGTATGACTGTCTCCTGTGCACACCTTTCCCTGTTATAATGTAGCCTATCACCAACAGCATTCTGAAGAGGGAGCTAGAGTATTGTGCATAGTGCTTGCTCTACCCAGAGGAAATAATACTGACTTGTACCTTTGAAACCAGACTTGTCAAAAAAGGAAATAATTAAACCTGAAACAAACAAAAACTCAGCTACCTGACTATCTCTGGTCCTTTTGAAATATAGAGGCAGCCAATTAAAACCATTAACCAAACTTCTATTGCTTTTACTCTATGTGAATGATTCATGCCATAGCATGGCCTACTTACTGAAAACAGTATTACTTTTATTATGAGGCTCAAATCAAATTATAACTAAAATGCCTAGTATCATTTCTGTATTTCAAACCAGGCAGAATACTTTTTGTGTGTTCTGCAGTTTTCAGTAGGTTTGAAATCTGGTAAGTAGGTACTTCCAAAATAGAAAAGCTACTTTGAGCATCTGAGTACTTCTATAAGCATAGAACTAAAATATCCACCCTACCAAAAAGTAATCTCATTTTGTATCAGGCTTCACAGTCTATTGGGAAAACATTCATCAACAACTGAAATTACAGAAAAGCTAATCAAAACATGATGCTAGTACAGCAACAGTACTTAGTGATTGGCGGAAAAGTTAGGACCCTACCATACATTAAAACACTCCCACGCTTCCATAACCACAAGTTAATGGGACAACACACAGAATAGAACTAACACCACTCAGAAGTGGCTCTGCATAAGGGAAATACTTGCTAAACTTAGTACTATTGCTAGGGAATACAAACTGGGCTTTTATAAAGTTCAGTGTTTACAGCCAGATGGTTATTACAAGGTGTACAGCTCTGCTACCGTATCTGCCTTTGGCACAGTGTTTAGACCTTAAGAGAAGCAGAGGTAGAAGCCAGGTAGACTTTATAATATCTCCAAAATCTAATTTGTACATTGATCTGTGCTTGATCATGATTTGTTACTAAACTCAAATGGATCATCAATTCACACTCCAGCCACCTATCCTCCTACAAAATTACTTATACAGTTCCAATAAAATACTGACAGTGTCTTCGAACAAACAACATAATGACAAATCTCCACTATTTTAGATAAGAGAGGAAATACATAATTTTTACTGTCCGTGTCACAAGGGGAGAGCACGTGTTGAAACAAAATACATCTACCTATAGATATTTCCTTTTGTTTTTTAAACCTTTTAGCAAGTTCTCACTCTTGTATCTCTTAGAAGTGCATTCCGTAAATGCAGTCTAGAATACTGTTGTCACCATTCTAGCTGGAGGTAACTGCTTGAAATATCATCACAGCAGGAAAATTTACCCATGGGAGTCCTCCCAGAGGCCTTTGAGAAGGAATTTGAGGGTTTAAGAACTGGAAAGCACATATATATGAGGTATAATCAGAAGCAAAGAAAGCATGTTTCTACATCCAAACACTTCTGAGCAGATAAGCATCTCTTCTGCTACACACTTCAACAGGATAAATTGCAAGACACTTCTCAAACTGGAAATCATCAAATCCTTAGGTTTTCATGTAAAACGTAAAACAATGTCTTACCTTGCCCCGAATTATATATTGCTTTCACAGATTTTTTCACCTTCTGTAGAGCAGTTCTGTCTTGATCCAATGCCTACAATATCAAGAAATAAACAAACTTTCAATATTTACTTCAGCAATCCACAGAACGCCAGAAAATTAGTTTCACAGGCTGGAAACAACTGCCAATACAACAAATCCAGCCTGCAGGAGGGTCTGAGGTCATTCAACCCCTTCAGGACTAATTAAAGAACTGAACTGAAAGTGCTCTGGCGGTACAGCAGAGCACTAGTGACAGTGCTGAAAGGCAAACACTATGTCAGTTTTTTTAAGGGAAAAACATTTATTCAAATTATCTTAAAAAAAACAAACAAAAAACAAACAAAAACCCGAGAAATAGTTAGCAGATGCTTCCACAGCCCTCCAGTTTCTACTAAATTAATTGTTAACTTCTGTGGTTTTCCAATAGTAATAGTCTTCCAATTATAGAAACAGATTATCACACTAACCTCTTGCACTTAACTCCACAAGATAAATTTTAGAAATAGAGCAGATGAAAAATATCAAAAGGACTAAGATCTGATTTTGTGCAGCATCATGTGACTGAAAGGAAATATTTATTATAACAGTCAAACATGTATTTTCAGGATTCCATAATTCTGAATTTCAAGTTCTCTGCAATAGTTTCAAAATCCAGACTGAAATGTTACTAAGCAATAATGAATTCAGGATTAGCTGTTTAGGTACTTTCCTTTTTAACCAACGTCACTCCTCCCTACCCGCTCCCAATCTGATTTAAGGCATCAAATCAGCATGAGAAAGAACTATTATGATAAAGCAGAAAATAAAAACAAAGCAACCATTAGCCTAGACTTCTGGAATCAAGAAACTTAAAAGCTACTGTCCTTCACAGGCCCTGTGTGCAGCGATCCAGTTAATTTCACTGAAGCTATCCACAGAGAACACACACAGAAATGCTTAAATCATTTCCTGGGGTTTTTTTCCCTCCCATTTAGGTCATAGGCAATTCCCCATCACCGAAAGCAACATCAGATTAATAATCGCAAGTTTTAATGAAGCTCGAATCATTTGCCATATTATATTTATGTCCAAATCACTGAAGATTGGAGAACTTCTACTCAGGTTCACCGTTGGAGTAGCAGTCCAACTGTGCCTGTTTGCTGCTGTAGACAACAAAGTTCCTGTTGCAGAGACCCTGGGGTAGAATATTATCCAAACCGTTTAAAGCTTAGAGCTTCTGTGGGTCTGGTACCTGAAGACTGGCACACTAAGGCAGAATGGTAGCTACTCCCATAGCAGGATGTACATCACCACAGAGGGTTACTACACGCAACACTATGAGTGAATACATAACCAGTGAGCAGAGCTTTACTGTCAAAGCTGAGATAACTACATTGCACTAGACATTGAAGCTCAAAAAAAAAAAACAAACCAAAAACAAAAACCAACCCACAGCAGGAGCTGCAGGTCAACTGGAGCGTTAAACAGTGGAGATGGTCATGCATGAGAATAACACTCCTAGGTAAGTTCAAGTGAGTGTTTCACTGTATGCACACTTACACCCTACAGCACAAATACAGAGAATGGATTGAGAACGCCCCTGAGGAGAAGGATTTAGGGGCGATGGTTGATGAGAAGCTACATAATGACTTGGCAGCATGTGCTTTCAGCCCAGAAAGCCAATCAAATCCTGGGCAGCATTAAAAGAAGCATGACCAGCAGGTTGAGGGAGGGGATTCTATCCCTCTGTTTGGCTCTCATGAGAACCCACCTGCAGTATTGTGTTCAGCTTTGGGAGCCCCAACATAAGAAGGATGTGGAGCTGTTGGAGTGAATCTAAAGAAGGCCAAATCTGATCAGAGAGCTGGATGACCTCTACTATGGAGACAGGCTGAGACAGTTGGGGTTATTCAGCCTGGAGAAGAGAAGGCTCTGGGGAGACCTTAAAGCAGCTTCCAGTACCTAAAGTGGGGCTACAAGAAACCCGGAGACATGTTACATAGAGATATATGTGGGGACAGAACAAGGGGGAATAGCTTTAACCTGAGTGCAGATTTAGATTAGATATTACGAGTAAGTTTTTCCCTGTGAGGGTGGTGAGACACTGGCATAGGGTGCCCAGAGAAGCTGTGGCTGCGCCATCCCTGGCAGTGTTCAAAGCCAGGTTGGATGGGGCTTGGAGTAACCTGCTCTAGTGGAAGGTGTCCCTGCCTGTGGCAGGGGATTAGAACTAGATGAGCTTTAAAGTCCCTTCCAACCCAAACCAGTCTGGGATTCTATCATATATAGATAAACCAATTAATTTATTTTGGAGTGGTCCAATTTTAACCAAACAAAATGTTACAGTTGAACTGTATAAGAATCTGTTACAAAAAAAGATGCAGTATTTCTGTTAAAAACCACCATATTCTCACATCACACCAAAAACCACCATATTCTCACATCACACCACTTCCATGGTAGTTAAAACTAAAACATTTGGAACCACAGAATTAAAGTTCTTTCTAATATTATTTCTCTCTAGTTTTCAATTTGCAGCAGAACAACAGATTCAAACACTCAGAAATGTAAATGCCATTATTTCTTTTGCGCCCAGTAAAATTGTGGATTTTATTTGACTTCCACCTTGACAGAAATTTTTTGAGTTTAATAAATTAAGAACTCTGTGTTCCTTTTCCAGACAGTGCACAGCAGGTGATTCTCCTTAGATTCCTTTGCAAACACTGTCAAAAGCTTTTACTTCTGTCTGCATGCTATGCCAGACTGCTGTTATACATTTCTACTGAAGTTCTATCTTCAGTGACCAGAAAAATATGATTCACTTGTCCTTGGAGAGTTTAAATGCAGGATATCCTAAGAATTTGAAGCAAGTATCTTGGAAAAAAGACAACCATTAACACTGATGAGATTTCAGAGATAAAGCTTTGTACTAAATTCTAATATTGAAGCAAACTGGATACTCAGGAAAAGGAAACAAATACAAAAACTCCAAGAAAGAAAGTACGTGGTCCTAATGTTATCAATCTAGAAGTCTAGGACAAATGGACTAGAAAAATCTTTCAAATTGGATCTGCTATCAAATTAAACTTAATCACCAGTGTGGGAGCAAGAGGAAGGGAGCATTCATTATTTTAAGAGCAATCAATGACGAAGTGATACACAGAGATGACATCCACTGCCTGAAGGAGCCAGTGATCTAAGTCAGAATAACATCACAGGTCAACCTTGTGCTTTTATATTTGCAAATAGGAACTTTATGTGAACTAGTTCTTCTTTTAGACCAAAACTCTCTATATATCCATGCACACTTATAACCCAATACCTGGGCAGTATGTGGAATGCCTACTGAAGTGGAATCCCAAGCCTGCATAGGATTCTAGGTACACACAAACTGTTACCTAGGGGGTTTTGGAGTGGGTTTGTGCGGGGTTTTTTTGATGGCTGTTTTTTGTTTTACGTAACTGTAGGCAGTTTGTGTCCAAGTATATAACACATTCCTTTTGAATGTCATTTGCTAATGACTTTTAGCTGCACCCTGCTGTAAAGGAATTAAGCTGCACTCAATGCTCAATTCAATTATTATTCCAGAGTAAAGTTACCTTTTAAATATGTTAAACTAGACAGAACAGCCCTTGCTTCCCCCTTTTAGGGGGAAAGCACACCTTGGAGTACCCATTAATTTTATTTTCCAGCATTCAGAATACTAAATATTTTTACTCCCCATGTTTGAAAACACAAAGTCTGATCTTTCAGTAAAAGGGACACTTACATTATTGAAAACTACAATGCCTTAGAGAACCAAGGAGTCTCTGTGACAGTCTCTAGGTATTCAGATGCATTCCCCTTCCTACCTTCCTACATACTGAACTCTTCCTTATCACCCTGGAAAATGCTTCTTTCTTCATTTCTGTGATACCAGTTCCCAGGAAGCCTTTTTAACTTCTCTGAGAGATCCTTTTCATACCATCTTATGCATTCTGAAAAGACATAATCTACTAAAGTTACCTGCAACACAGCTTTACTACCTCTTGGATGAACAAAGCTTTATTCTTGACAACAGTCATCTGTGAGACAACCTCCATCTTTATTCAAAATAATGCAAAATTAGGGTTCACAAAAACTCCTGACACATATTAATGAAGAAATTAAGGAAAAAACAAACCCCATTCTATTTAGTCTGCCTATATAAAATTAAGCAAGGAAAACTTGCCCCTCATACATAGCAGGTTTGCTGCACATGATCTCTGACATACGCCCTGTCGAGGTTTCATATTGCTGCATTCCCTTACATTGAAGCTTATGCTCAATAAGAAAACAGCCTGATCATGCAAGATGAGTCTGGAACCCCCCCAGACAGTCACCTCAGATTTCATTTCTCCTTTTGGTCAAAATTCAACTACTTTGAACCTGGACTGCAATTTCAAACCACCAGCCTCATTCAGATCTGTACTACTGGAGAAAGTGGTGCCTCTTCTTCATACCAGAGAACTCATGTTGGCTACACACTGTGACCCAGTTCAGAGACTGCTGTGATGACCTCAGCTCCAAGAAAAACAGAGGCTCCTTATGAGCACTGTGGATGTAGCTCACCTTCCATCAGAGCATGCACACTGGCAGTGATTTGTACTTAGAATGACCACTTCACATTCAGAGGCAAGACTTCTTACAGCACCCTCCTTCTCAACATGTACATTTACTGATAGTTATTCATACAAATATAAAAACTGAAAAACTTGTCCACCTGAAGAAACAAAACCAGATTAATCTGGGGGAGGAGGAAGGCGAGTCCTACCAATGGATCACTGATGTACATAACTTTGTATTTGCACGTATACTTTTACCAGCATGACACAGCACACACGTCAGCAGCAGGTCAGAAAAGGGGTATGCTTACATCCCATAACCCACACTGCAGTCCTCTCTCTGAGATGAGGCAGAGCCCTGCAGACACTGCTTTTGCCTCTCTTCTGCTCTTTAAAACCTGACCTCTTCTCAGTAAAGGGTGTTTCTATTCTTGGGCCAATTTTAATAGCTACTGAATATTATACCAGAAACTGTACTACCATGCAGTGT